AGACAAGTTACTGTTATACTCTGCTTTCTATCCCTGAATCAGTTTTGTACCAATGCTAAATAAAAACCAAAAGAACTGCAGATGCTGTAAATCAGGAACAAAAACAGAAGTTGCTGGAAAAACTCAGCCGGCCTGGCAGCATCCGTGAAGAGAAAATCAGAATTAACGTTTCGGGTCCAGTGACCCTTCCTCAGATCTGCTGAGCTCTTCCAGCAACTTCTGTTTTTGTACCAATGCTAATGGGCTTCAGCTTTGTCTGCAAGTTATGCCTTCTAAATTTGTAACATTCAAAAGGGAGAACATTACTTTTCAAAACATACAGAGAAGAAATAAAAAAAGACATGATAGGTACATAGAAATATTTCCAGATGTAAATGATTGCACTGTGTGTATACCAGCAGAGCAAATGATTGACAGAATGTAATGAAATGAAGAACCATACACCTGTATACTCTCAACAGAGTACCTGATGAGTCTGGGCTGCAAAACATGAAGCTAACAGAGATTATGAAGTCTACCTGACATTTCTCCACCCATCGACAAACTGCTTTGAATATATTTCTATTTTGTTAAAGGATTACTGCAGTTACTTACAAATAACTAAGGGCTCACTTACAGGGAAACACATTTTGACATGTATGCGAAGGAAAAAGAAGCACTTGCATTAATATAGCTTCAGGTCATCTTTTACAGCAAATGGTGAGTTTATTGAAGTATGACATAGGCAATGTGGCAGTAACCACAAGCAGCTTTGTGAGAAGGACTGGAAGAACTGTTTTAGAGCTGTATCTCCTGCCAACCCACTTGAACAGGAAGTCGATGTCGTTGCCATCATCCTTGTGTGCCTGCATTTCACCAGAACTGAAAACTTGTGTATCCGATATTGCTTCCTCTGCTCCCTTCAGTGCCCTGTCCTCTCTCCTCCACCTCCGCAATCACTGCTCTCTTCAGTCTTCCAACCTGCACTCCCTTTGCTACCTGGTACTCCATTCCCCCCATTGCGCCGTCCCATGTTCCCCTCCATGCCTCTTTTTCCTCCACTCCTCTCACCCCCTCCATCCTCTGTTCTTCTCACCACCCAGTCCCTTGCTCGTGTGCCCACTTTATGCTGGACAACCCGTGCAATTTGGTTGCTCTATTATTGATTTAATAATCTTTATATCTTGTCATTATGGATCCATTTGAAATGGGGTCTGTGGTGTTTTAAAACTACCTCTACTGTTAGTACTCTTTAGGAAATGAGTTGTGAGCAATTTGTTTCTTACAGGATACACCAGGCATTCTTTTAGTGATAAAGAAAATGTTTCCTGAGACTAATTAACTTTCACATCTATGTTTGAATCGCTTCCCCAGATGCTTTTTAAGTGATCAGTGAGTTTGTTATATAAGTGTATCTATAATTACATTGGGGCTGCCCCAACAGGGTGACAAAGCATATTTTTTAAATTCAAAGATATTATCTTTCAAAGGCGGAACTTACATTGGAGTGAATGCACACCATGCCATTGAATTGGCTTCTCCTTTAGTCTCCATTATTTGTTGGACAAACGTCCAGACACCGGGAGAATACACTGTTGTCTTCAACATGATTGTAGAATCTTTTACCTCCAGATAGGGCCTTGGTTTATCAGAAATCTGTCACTGTTTGACACAAATAAACTACGGTATAGCACACAGCTATATATTCAGTCATGTACTCTGTGCTGTGAGGAAGGGTCACTGGACCCCAAACGTTAACTCTGATTCTTCTTCACAGATGCTGCCAGACCTGCTGAGCTTTACCAGCAGCTTCAGTTTTTGTACTCTGTGTTGTGTCTGTAATTATCTGATATCCTTTATATTCAGGAAAACAGACAAACTTTGTGGCATCATAAATAAATATATTCGGAAAGGTTTCCCCGAGTTTTAGATTTTCCAACATCACTGACCAATATCCACATTTCACCGATATTTATGCAGCCAGTGATTTTAAAAACAAAGACACGACATACTCAACAGGTAATCCTCGTACTGGCAGCCTATAAGTGAAAGCAATTTAATGATAGTTCTAGATTTCAAGTGATGGTGGTCTGACTATTTCTTTTGGCAGCTTGTTCCAGTATAGAATGGTCCTTGGGAAGGAAGATTGTTGATACAGTATCTGGGAAGGACATGGGTCTGAATGTTCTCCAGACAGTCATTATTCCAGTATTGATGGGATTTGCACAGGGGATCTTGCGGAATCCCCATCATTGCACACTCTGAAGGAATTGCCTGGGAAATTGAAGTTTCCTCTGGCAGTTCATTCTGCACATGAGCAAACCACTGTGTAAAAAACATTGTTCCTCAGGTCCCTTTTAAATCTTTCTCCTCTCATGTTAAAGATATGCCCCCAGTTTTGAACTCAACCACCCCAGGGAAAAGACCCTTGCTATTCACCTTAAATATACCCGTCATGATTTTATAAATAGTCAATTCCACATTTTATAAATGCCAGAGAGTTCATTTTTCTCTGTCCTTCATTGGAGTGATATACCTTTCCAAATATTTTGCCAAGGATGCAATGCTGGTATATTTCCTGTGCTGATATGCACAGAACTGTGCAGCAGATCTTTGGATCTACATACTCTAGAACCCAATGTTTCTTGAACAATTCATTGCCTCTCCTTTAATGGGCAAGCACACTGAGGATAATTTTTGCTTTATTCATTCATGGGATGAGGGCATTGCTAGCTAGGCCAGCATTTATTGCCCATCCCTAATTGCCCAGAGGGCAGTTAAGAGTCAACCACATTGCTTTGGTCTGGAGCCACATGTAGGCCAGACCAGGTAAGGGTAGTAGTTTCCTTCCCTAAAGGACATCAGTGTATTTCCCAACAATCGGCAATAGATTCAACGTCATCATTTAGACTGTTAATTCCAGATTTTTATTGAATTCAAATTCCATCATCTGCTGCAGTGGAATTCAAACCTGGGTCCCCAGAACATAATCTAGGTCTCTGGATTAACAGACCAGCAATAATACCACTAAGCCACCACCACCCCTTAAATTTTGGGGTCCCTGTCACTTGGGACTGCTCATACAATACTAAGGATATTGAGTCAATTATCTATTACAGCTCTCTCTCTGTCTGACTTTGATGGAATTGAAAATTATGAAAGGTCTACGACGTGCATCTCATTGTTCATTTTGCACCATCAGCTGAAGACAAAACTAAGTTCATCATTTTAAAAAAAATCAACTCTGGTTAACAGCAAATGGAGAAGACATTCACCCTGTCAGGTTTGTAGTAGTTCTTTGAGATTTCAATCCAATCAGCCTCACTTTGATCCTTCTGGTCTTTGCCAATCTTATTCCTTCATTCTTCCAAATGACGTGAGCTTGCCTGCATTTATTGCCTATTTACCTTCAAGAGGTGGGGTGAGCCATTTTTCTGAACTGTTGCAGTCCACATGGGCCTGTTAGGGAGTTGCAGTCTTCTGAGCCCCCAACAAAAAAGTACCAGGATGGTGTGTGACTCCAAGAGAAATCTGCAACATTCCCACAGTTCATTCCAGCTGGTAGATCTGACACATTTGGAAGTGCTGTCAGAAGAGGCTGTGAATCTTGTACATAGTAACTGTGCACGTACATCTTGGGCCAGAAGTCACGTGTGGAGCAAACCAAGAAAGGATGGCAGAATCCCATCCCCAACCCCTGCAGGGCATTCGTGAACCAGCTAGATATTAACAAATCCAATTCATGGGAGTGGCTTCTAATAGTAATATTTGCTTTTAATTCCATATTTTATGATTAACAGTGCTGAATTTGAACTCCTGTCTCTGAGAGCAATAGTCCAGATGACTGGGTTACGAGTAACATTTCCAACTAACTATCCCTAACACATATAAAGTTGAGTTTTTACAGCATGGAGAGAGGCACTTCAGCCCACATGTCTGTGCTGGTCGTCAAACATCCATCTTGCCATTTTCCAGCACTTGACTCTTTGTATGCTATGGCATTTTGAGTATTCACCTAAATATTTCTTAAATATTTTGAGGGTTCCTGTCCCTACACTGTTATACATATCCTTCAGCATTAGCGTCCAAACCCATGGTCTCCACCATCGAAGATAAGGGCAGCAGATACTAGGAACAACACCACCTGCCAAGTGCCCCTCTGAGACACTCACCATCCCGACATTGAAATATATTGCTGAAGCTCTCCTAATTCCTAACAGCCTTGTGTGTATCTATAATACAAGGACTGCCGCAGTTCACCACCACCTTCTCTAGAGCAATTAAGGATGGGAAGCAAATGCTGGCCAAAATGATACTCAGATCCCATGAGTAAGTAAAAACAAAATATAGTCAATATTTTATTTACCACCATTAGTACCTTAATCTCTCTGCTGAGATGGCACATGGTTTGAAAAAGGTTAAAATTTGTAACTAAGATAAGGTGTGGAGCTGGATGAACACGGCAGGCCAAGCAGCATCAGAGGAGCACGAAAGCTGACGTTTCGGCTCTGGACCGTTTTCTGAAGAAGAGTCCAGACCCGAAACGTCAGCTTTCCTGCTCCTCTGATGCTGCTTAGCCTGCTGTGTTTATCCAGCTCTACACCTTGTTATCTCAGATTCTCCAGCATGGACAGTTCCCACTATCTCCAAAATTTGTAACTGCATGGATTTCCTTCATCTATCCATTGCAATGTACTGCTTTAATATTAACTTCATATTTGTATAAAAATGATTTGGTTGGCGGGTCTTTAGCCCATTGTGGATTTTCTTTTATTCACTCCTGGGCCAGCATCTGTTGCCTCCTTATTTGCCGCTGGAGAAGGTGGTGGTGAGCTGCCTTCTTGAACAGCTGTAGCCCATGTGTTGTGGGTTGACCCATAAATTCGGTAAGGATTTAGGGGGTTACAGATTTTAGACCCAGGCACCACTGAGGGATCATGTCACAAATCCTGAATCCAGTGCTGGCCGGGGGATGGATGACGCCAGGTTTGCGGAGGAAATCAAAACTGTGAGAGAAACGAAACTGCACCAAGTCATGTGATTCCTGGTAAAGGGAAGTGAAACCGACAGGAAGACACGGCGACAAACATTTTAAATCAGTGCATGGTTTACGGTCAGCCTGTCGTTGCGCTTACGAAGGGGAAACTGAACGAATTTCTGCTGTAATTTTTAACCGTTCCCCTGGAAGACCTAACCTCTGGTTGTTTCTTTTTTGATAATCTCAAGGTTTCCGGGTGGAGCATCAGAGCCTGAAAACTATTTCAGCAACCCTTAGGAGAACGGAATTCTCTCGCTATTGCTATGACTGCAGATTCCCCGTAACACCGCCAGAAAAAGAACAAAGCAATCCATTTTATTTTGCCTGAGACCTGTGAGTACAACTCGAGTCGTGAGTAGAAATTAGATTAATAATTAGATGGAATTGCGTTCTCCTTTTAGAAATCTCCCCTGTTTCTAACGCTCCGGCTAATTCACTTCTTTGCTGAGTGAATCTTCATTTTTCTTTTTCTGAAGAAGGGTCTAGACCCGAAACGTCAGCTTTCTTGCTCCTCCGATGCTGCTTGGCTTGCTGTGTTCATCCAGCTCTACACCTTGTTATCTCTTCATTTGTTCCGTGTTCAATAGGGGATTGAAAGTGTTTTTAGAAAGTTTGTAGCAGCACTGCCCTGTCTGCTACTGGAGCTTCGAGGTGGCGTTAAACTATTTAAAATCAGACAAATATATTTTACACAGCATTATATATCATATTTCAAATACATAGGGCAATGCTTGTAATTAACTGCTTGATGTAGGACTGTGTGCTTACTCCAATGGGGATGAATGGCAATGGGGTGTTAGAGTGGAGTTGGCATTATTGTTGGGAATGTGTTAATCCTTTTTTTTTTGCTGGGAGTTATTGCTAAAATCATGATGGGTTGAAGCTGGGCAGTCATTGCTGAAGCAATCTCCTCCGAGTAAACTGGGATTTAATCCAGAACATAATCTCAACCTGATTGTTTCCAGTTTCAGGTAACACTCAGTGTGCGGCTTAGGAACCTGAAGATCAACAATATTTGTTGCCTCAGCTTGCAATGCAAGTGTGTGACCCCAGGATTTTACTTCTGGCTCTGCAGGGGTGGCCTCGTCTCCTCCTCAAAACGCTCAGCTCACCCTGACGTTACTGTTAGGATCATAATGTCCTCCTAGGAACTCCTGCTCTGACAAAAGGTGTCCCTGGGCCAGGAATTTCCACCTGCAGTGTGAGGTTACGATAAACTGCTCCTTCTGTGAGGTAGTGTTTACCAGGTGAAAAGTGTCAGAATGACAAGGGAAAACTCCCCCAAGGGCGCAAGAGGATGTTTTAGTATTGTTTGCCAAGGCACACTGGTTAGAGTAAAATAGATGGCAACAATATTTTCAGAAACAGCTGAAAATTAAGGCAGGTGCTGATGAAAAGGGATAGAGATCTTGCGAAGACAAACAGGAGGCTGGAAGAACACAGCAAGCCAGGCAGCATCTGGAGGGAAGGAGAAATCAACATTTCGGGTATTACCCTTCTTCAGCCTCCTGTTTGTCTACCTTGGATTCCAGCAGCTGCAATTTTTTATTTGTCCCTATGGAGATCTTGTGTTTGGAAGGTGTTTTCAAAGGATTTATAGGGACTTGGGTGTTGTGGGAGTAATAGTCGGCTTAACTACACCAAGGCCCTGATTAATGCTCTTGGGGATGCAAAGATCAGTACAGCACATGAACAGGCCCTTTGGCCCACCAAGTCTGCACCAATACATTATGCCTTTCTAAGCTAAAAGCTTTTTACTACTATGTGGTCCACATCCCTATATTCCCTGCCCTTTTATGTATCCGTCAAGATGCATCTTAAATGTTGCCTCTGCCACACCTGGCAATGTATTCCAGGCACTTACCACTCTCCATTTTTTTAAAAAAAACTTGCTTCTCACATCTCCTTTGAACTTTTCCCCCCTCTTACCTTAAACTTATGTTCCCTAGTATTGACATTTCTATCCTGTGGCTTCAAATCAAGTACAGTCAAAAAATCTGGAATTAAGAGCTAGTAAGCAATTTGTACCAAATTCATACAGGATCTGGTTTAAATTATTTATTTTAAACTTAATACAGATATCTAATTGGTCATATTGGTAACTGAGTCAGCCATTTTAGTTAATGTTCTGGCCAGCAGAGTAGTGGGACTAAAGAGAGATATAGTGCAGTCCTCCAACCCTCGGTCATGATCCGAGGTATTATTTCCTAATTTTGGACACACAAACATTAAAAAAAAAGAGCAGGAGCAGGCCATTCAACCCTTTGAGTCTGCTCTGCCATTCAATATGGTCATGGCTGATCATCCGACTCAGTCCCCTCTTCCTTCTTTCTCCCGTTGTCCTTCAATCTCCTCAGATCTAACTCCTTGAATTCAATGTTTTGTCTTCAACCCCCTTCTGTGGCAGCGAATACAACAGGCTCACCACTCTGTGTGAAGAAATTTCTCCTCGTTTGAATGGCCTACCCCACCCCCTTTACTTCAGGAAGCAGTTTAAAACCCAACCAGGCCAGCAAAAATGAGTACAGTTGCCGATTCACCAACAGCTTATTGTGCAATCGCTCGCTCACTCCCCTTCTGCCGCATTGACAAACAAACCACCACATCTCCTCCTGTGGGCACTTGAATTGCAGCAGCAGCCGTCCTTCACTGTTGATGCATTTCCTCAGCCCCCTTTGTGTTCAGCTACCACTACCACTTAGCTCAATCCTTATGCAATGCGTTGGCTCCTTTTATTAACCCTTGGAACAGAAAAGACCTCAAGGTGGGAACTAAACTAAACAAATAGCCCAGCCAATATGTGTAGAGGTATTCCTGGTGTTAAATAGACCCTCAGAATTGTCCTTATTTGGGGATAGGGAGGCAATCATATACTGGTATTGTTTGTGGACTAATAATCTAGAGACCCACGTACTGCTCTGGGATTCCAGTTTGAATCCTACTCCAGTTGATTATACAAGCTGAATTCAAAATATCTAATAAAGTCTGTAATGGTGACCATTAAACCATTGTTTATTGCCATAAAATTCCATCTGGTTTGCTAATACCTCTTAAGGAAGGAAATCGGCTGTCTTTGATCTGGGCTACATGGAATTCCACGCTCATTGCAATGTGGTTCACACTTAGCTGTCCCCTGAAATGGCCAAGCAAACCACACAGCTGTTTCAAACTGTTAAAAATGTCTCACAGACTAGTCAAGCAAAAGCCTGACGTAGTCATATTCTCAGAATTGTACCTTATAGGCAATGTGCCAGACACCGCTATCACCATCACTGGATATGTCCTGTGCCACCAGCAGAACAGACCCAGCAAACATGGCCATACAGTGGTTTACAGTTACGAGAGTCTCCACTGTTGACTACAGACCTGATGGAGTCTCATGGTTTCTTGCCCCTCTTTGACCTGATGCCATGTACCCTTTTTCCCCTCTGTTGATGAATCAGTGGTCCTCCATGTTGAACATCACTTGGAGGAAGCATTGAGGGTGGCAAGATGCATTCTGTACCCTGGATAGAGGACTTCAGTGTCTACCACTAAAAGTGGTTTCATGGCACCACAACTGATTGTACAGGTGGAGTCCTAAAGGACATAGTTGCTACGACCATATCCAACAAGAGAGAATCTAAATATCACCCAGTTGACTTTCAATGGTGTTAGCATCACTGAATTCCCCTACTATTAGCATCCTGGGGGTTACCATTGACCAGAAACTAAACTGGATTAGGCATATAAGTGCAGTGGCTACAAAAGCAGGTCAGAAGCTAGAAATACTGCAGTGACTCTCCAAAGCCTGACCACCAACTACAAGGCACACGTCAGAAGTATGATGGGATACTCCCCACTTGCCTGGATGGGTGCAGCTCAACATCACTCGTGAAGTTCGACACCATCCAGGTCAAAGCAGCCGCATGATTGACATCACATCCACAATCACTCACACCCTCCACCACCAATGGTCATGAGAAGCAGTGTGTACTATCTATAAGATGCACTATAGAAATTCACCAAGTCTCCTCAGACAGCACCTTACAAATCCAAGACCACTTCCAAGTATGAGGATAAGGGCAGCAGATACTTGGGAACATTACCGCTTGCAAGTTCCCCTGACAAACCGCTCATCATCCTGACTTGGAAATATTTTGCTGTTCCTTCAGCGTTGCTGGGGTGAGAATTCAGGACTTCCCTCCCTAATGATGCTGAGTGTTCCTACACCAGATATATTGCAGTAGTTTAAGAAGGCAGCTGACCGTCACATTCTCAAGGGCAAATGGGGATGGACAATAAATGTCAAACCAGCCAACGAAGCTGATATCCCATGAATAAATTTAAGAAAAGACAGGGAACTTGCAGCTAGTTGGTGACACAATTACAAATATTTCTGGTGCACATAGTGACTGTGTTTCACCGATTATTCAGCTAAAAAATAAATTAATTATTGCAATTGTAAAGATTGCTACTTAATGACAAACAACTCCTATATATTCTTGATTTCTAGGTCCTCCACACGGTGAGCAAGAACTGTTGCTGAGGACGATTAACAAAGGGGTGCTTATTCCCTCGGAAGGTGCATCAATACAGGTGTACCCCAACATTGATACTTATACCTTTTGGTGGGTCCACTTAGATAGTTAATTGCATGTTTATTTGACTAACTCTCAAGTCTCAAATTGGGGTTCAGAGAAATACTATCCTCTTCTGAGATCTACTCAGCTGAGCACAACTGTTAAAGCTGAGGGTGACTGTAGAGAAGATCTTCCTGGAATTTAGCGCAAACTGTAGTTAAAAACATTTTAAAGTTCCCTTATTTCTCCATAACATAATGTTAAATGCTGTTAGTTTCCACCCAGCCATACCAGTGATTGCACCAGTGCCAATGAGTAGCTTACTCACATTCACCTTGTTAAACCTGAAGGTTGTGTGTTAGAACCAGCTTCTGGTTTCACATCATTTTTAACACCTACTTGACCCCAACTTACCTGTTCCTGGACATTAAAATCACCCCTCACTTCCTGAGTTCCTTCTTGCAGCATGGGAAAAGCAATCTACTCTTGTAACAAAACAACAGTATCAAGTTGGAGCTTTTCTCTTTGTGTTGCATATGCCCTGATCCAACCCCTCAAAGCTACCTCCCAAATTCCAAACCAACAATGGACTGCGACTGCAAACTCTTGTCTTAATATTTTCTTGGAGTTTATTACAATGCATTCTACTCCCAACAACGCAAGCAAATTAAACCGCCTCCTTTATATTCATCTTTTCATTTCTAGTCTCTCTTTTTTTTATAACACATAAATAAAATGCTAATTTTGATGCCCTGTTGAGGTTTCTCCCTGGTTGTCTACAACAATGTCCAGAGGTTTATCTTCCATTCCTGGAGACTCTAGATCAATCCTGGAAGGTTAAAAGCTCTACCATATGTCCAAGCCCCATCACTACCTTAGAACAACGTCACAGAAAAATTTTTAAGACATTCATGAATGGGATGTGGGCATCACATGCAAAGGCAGATTTGTTATTGCCCCTGAGAAGGTGATGGTGAGCTGACTTCATGGTCAGAGTGGTTTGCTAGGCCATTTCAGAGGTACTTTGCTGTGGCACTGGAGTCATCAATAATCCAGGCTGGGTAAGTGAGCTGGATTTCCTTTCTTAAAGGGCGTTCATGAACCAGATGGATTTTTAATTCAAGCTGGTAATTTTATTGTTCCATGACAAACACTAGGCTGTTTAAATTATAGATTTATTAAATAAATTGTCCTCCTAGTTGTACTAATGGGATTTGAATTCCTGGATCATTGGTCCATAATATAACCTCTGTGCTCAGCTCTTATTCAAAACCTGTTACTGTATTGTCAACAAGGTGCAGGGCTGGATGAACACAGCAGGCCAAGCAGCATCATAGGAGCAGAGAGGCTGACGTTTCGGGCCTAGACCCTTCATTGCTTTTGTTTTCTCAGGCCATGGATGCAGCACTGTACAATCACTACGAAGAGAAAGTTCGACCCTGTATTGATCTCATTGACTCATTGAGAGCATTGGGTGTGGACCAGGACCTCTCTCTTCCGGCCATTGCAGTGATTGGTGATCAGAGCTCTGGAAAAAGCTCTGTGCTGGAGGCACTGTCTGGAGTCGCTCTGCCCAGGGGCAGCGGTAAGACGGTTCTGAATGTCAACTTCCTTAGCCTCTTTGTGATTCACCCCTACTCCCCAGCAATGCTCCCTCTTTTCTTACTGGAGTTACCTGCTCTCCTTTTATTGCAATCTCAATCAAACACAATGGTTGCCTGATTTGTTGAACCCCCCCCCCCCCCCCAATTAAACTCTCAGGTTTTGAATTTTGGGCATCAGGAATGAGGGATTGGAGGAAACTGGTGTTCCTTTCAAAAAGGGGTTACTGTGGAATGTTGTGACACACCGGGATAGCTCTTGTGGCATTGCTTTAAATCTGAACCAGGTTGATAGCCTGAGAATGATTGATGCTGGATAGGTCCTACATGACTCATCCACTTTCTCACAGCAAAGCCCACAGAACCACCATTAATTGGCATCTGCTGAAGCTGAGGAGGAATTTCTTCAGCCAGGGGGTAGTGAATCTGTGGAACTCGTTGCCGCAGAAGGATGTAGAAGCCAAGTAATTGTATGTCTTTAAGACGACGATAAGTTCTTGCAGCATCTGTGGAGAGAAATCAGAGTTAACGTTTTGGGTCAAAGGAACCTTCCCCAGAATGTCTGAGGAAGTTCTGATGAATGGTCACTCAACCCAAAATGCTAACTCTAATTTCTCTTCATGGATGCTGCCAGACCTGCTGAGCTTTCCCAGCAACCTCGGCTTTTGTTTCTGATTTACCGCATCAGTTCTTTTTGGTTTTTATAGATAGGTTCTTGATTAGAAAGGGGATGAATAGAAGGTAGCAGAATGGGGTTGAGAAACATGGCGGCTCAGTGGTTAGCACTGCTGCCTCACAGCGCCAGGAACCCGGGTTTGATTCCACCGTCGGGTGACTGTCTGTGTGGAGTTTGCACGTTCTCCCCATGTCTGTGTGGGTTTCCTCCAGGTGCTCTGGTTTCCTCCCACAGTCCAAAGATGTGCAGGTTAGGTGGATTAGCCATACTAAATTGCCTGTAGTGTTCAGGGATGTGTAGATTAGGTGGGTTATAGGGGGTTGGGTCTGGGTAGAATGCTCCAAGGGTCGGTGTGGACTTGTTGGGCCGAAGGGCCTGTTTCCAAACTGTAGGGATTCTATGATCTATGATTCTATATGATGAAATGGCACATTTCTGCACTGGAAGTTTAAGAAAACTGTTACCTAACTCTCACGAGTTAGTTATACCTTACTTGCTGCTGGATGGCTATAGAAATCTGAGTGCCATTGAAATGTAAAACATCAAATCAAGTATTCAAAATAAAGTACAAGCAAGGAAATCCTTATAATAATAGTCTGCTGTTGTAAAATATTATCTAAAGAGAGGAGGTTCAGAGATTGTGAAAATAATTTACTGGTGCAATAAGATTTGGTGTTCGCTAAGTCTTACTCAAAGTGCTTTATAATAAGATAAAAATTTTAATGCAATATTTGCGTAGTGTGCCAAATTTTCAATCTAAATGCTGCACTGATGTAAGCGAGAGATAAGTGCCTTGCCTGCAGCAACTTCACACACGCTGTGATGTGATTTTGCACATGGAAACGTGGTGCTCCACCTAGCAGTAGTCTTGGCCACTAACACAACCAGAAAGCATAAAGACTGTTTAGGTGCAATAAATTATTCAAAAGGCTCATAGCCTTAGCCTGAAGGGCTGGTGTAAGTCGTGGCTGAAATTAGGTTTCAATTACATTGAACTTTGGTTGAATCCCTCTTAAAGTATTCTTTTTGTTTCTGTTGGTTGTAGCACCGGAAGGATAAAAGTTTTTTAAAAAAATAAAATCATCACGGTTCCAGAGACCCCATAGGGTTGCTCTCTCATTTGAGACAACTGATGGTGATTTACCCTGTGGGTCACCACACGACGAGGGAAGGCAGATATTGAAAATGCCAGACCTTAATAGTAACCTCAGCCAGTGTGGGAATTAAATCTGTTGCAGAGTCGGGTAGAGTACTTATAGACTGGAAGGCAGGACGTTAGAATTTGTTTGTAAAATGATGGGGAGGCGGGGGGGTGGAGAAAGAGTGCACGGTCCCTTTAAAAGATGGGTTTTTTTAGGCTTGGTGATTTTCCAGAAAAGCATGTCTGTGAGCAGCAGCAGCCACAGAGAGTTCCTGAAATTGAAACATTTGTATCAAAAGCTTGTATGGTTAGCATCCCAGGTAGTAGCCTTATTTTGTTATTAAAGCAACAAGATTGAATATCAGCCAATTAATTTAAACCAGGCACTTAGAGACTAAAAAACCAATTAAATTTAAATCAATGGTTTTGACAACCTAGGACCAATGCTATTGTAAGAAATGGATAGGCCATCAAGGGTATAAATGAAGAGGGCATTTGAAAACTGGTGTGAGAGCAACTGCCGTCTGTTAGAGTTAACAATCAGCAGCCCTCAAGAGAAAATCACTGGCTCTCTCAGAATTCTCTAAGCTCTTGGGAAACCATCATCTAACTAATAGTACAGTGGCACTCTTAGCTAATATTCCTGACAAAATAATTTAATGGAGAAATGTGTTCCTGACGAAGAACAGCAGAGAAGGCACCAAATATTCAAGAAGATGCATCCTGGCCATAATTTTGAGAGACTAAATTTAAAGTTTTTTAAAAATTAATTTGGTTTATATAAGTAGGACTTATATCTATTGGAACAGCGTACCATTAGAATTGTGTTTTATTTGGGACCAGTTAGTAGTTAGGAGGGAATTGTTCAGTTTGTTAATTCTGTTAATTTGGCTACTGTTACAGTTAGATAAATAAATTGTTACTTGTTGATTATAGAGTGACTGTCAGAAGTTTTTCATTTAATCTCCCCTTTATAACAGATTGGGAGGTGAGAGGCAGGTTATGCCACTTTTCACACTTCGTTTAACAGATTATGAGGTGAGGTGAGGTGAGCTTCTCTGGGCCTTTCGGTTTTAGTTACCAGAAAGGGGTCAACCTCTGCTTCATAATAAATCACACTGTGGACATCATGATGTATTGCAAGCCAACTCTCCAGCCAACTGAGCTAACCAGGAAGGATATATTGGTAATGGACGGGGTGCAGTGCAGATTCTGCAGGATGTAAATGTAGAAGAGCTGAATAATGAGGACAGTTTGTATTAAGAGATAGTAGGAACTGCAGATGCTGGAGAATCTGAGATAACAAGGTGTAGAGCTGAATGAATACAGCAGGTCAAGCAGCATCAGAGGAGCAGGAAGGCTGACATTTCAGGTCTAGACCCCTCTTCAGAAATGGGGGAGGGGAAGGGGATTCTGAAATAAATAGGGAGAGAGTGGGAGGCGGATAGAAGATGGATAGAGGAGAAGATAGGTGGAGAGGAGACAGACCAGTCAAAGAGGCGGGTGTGGAGCCAGTAAAGGTGAGTGTAGGTGGGGAGTTAGGGAGGGGATAGTTCAGTCCAGGGAGGACGGACAGGTCAAGGGGGCGGGATGAGGCTAGTAGGTAGGAGATGTTGGAGGAGGGGATGGGTGGGAGGAAGGACAGGTAAGGTAGGTGGGGACAAGCTGGGCTGGTTTTGGGATGCGGTAGAGGGAGGGGAGATTTTGAAACTTGTGAAGTCCACATTGATGCAATTTGGCTGCAGGGTTCCCAAGTGAAATATGAGGTGCTGTTCCTGCAACCTTCGGGTGGCATCATTGTAGCCCAGGATGGACATGTCGTCTGAGGAATGGGAGGGGGAGTTGAAATGGTTCGCAACTGGGAGGTGCAGTTGTTTAGTGGGGAAGGAAACCTTTATTTGCTTTCCGGAGGGACCACTGTCTCCATGACTCCCTTGTTCACTCCACGCTCCCCTCCAGCCCCACTACACCCGGCACTTTTCCCCTCAACCACAGGAAGTGCTACACCTGCCCCTACACCTCCCCCCTCACCCCCAAACCAGGCCCCAAGAAGACCTTCCACATCAAACAGATGTTCACTTGCACATCTGCTAATGTGGTATACTGTATCCGCTGTTCCAGATGTGGCCTCCTCTACATTGGGGAAACCAAGCGGGGGCTTGGGGACCGCTTTGCGGAACACCAACGCTCGCTTTGCAACAAATATGAAAAGATTGTCTGACATCATTTCTCCCTGTTTGACAGGAATTGTGACAAGATGTCCTCTCGAACTGAAGCTGAAAAAAGCCAAAGAGGCGAAAATATGGAAGGGACAAATAAGTTACAAGAATTATTTGAAAGACCTGTCTGACCCATCTGAGGTGGATAAAGAAATTGTGAAAGGTGATGGTCGTATTATTTTTAGCTTGGTGTTACCTCGTCACCACATTTTGGCATTGATAATGGTGAAATCATGCGATTTTTTTTTTTTTTTTTTTTTTTTTTTTTTTTTAAATTAATACAGTATGAGTTATTTTATCTTTTCCTCTTGATTTTCTCTTTGCTTCTCTGAACTTGAAGGCTGCGTGCAAAGATTCAGTTGCAGAAATGATGGTTGCTCTCTGGTGCCTCACCTGGTGACCATTTCTTGTGTGGTAGCTTTGACCACAAGTGGAGGCCTACCTGACTGATGGTGGTTGGGTTGGTTGGAATCACCATAGCCAAACTCAGCCCTGTCCTTGTTTGACAGTCTTCTTTCCACCAACAGCACTGGACAACAGGTAGAAGTGGAGTCTAGGCTGCTTTGTCCTCACTCTGTTCCCCAAGTTTATTCACGTTGAGACTAATAGTGGGCCAAGAATTGTCCCTCGAGACATTAGCTAACTTGGCACAGAACAAGTATGAGGGAGGAAATCATCTAAAGTGGTAACACACAAATGGGCAATATTTTTTCATCACTCTCAACATTCAGCACCTGATGGTTTAATTCCGTTACCCTTAGTGGCACTGAATATCAGAGATGTGGAATAGAGTAGGTGGCCTATCAGATTCTGCCCATTTCATGCCATTTCCCCATGTTTGAAAGGTAGAACTCGTTCTGGGATTTGATTTCAAGTGTATTGTTAGGCCTGCAGCCTAGTTGGAAGTTCTAACCTGGGAGCTTACATCTTGACCTCTAATGTAACTCTTCACTCAGCAAGGATAGCATTGGGGCAGGGAAGAGGGTTAATGTTGGGCCAGGTTCATGCAGCAGCCTGAGGGCAAGTTGATCTCCTAATTGGTGACAGATTGTTCACACTGACTCTGAATTAGCTTGAGGCTGCTGACGCAGCCAGGTGAGGGCCAAAGATAGAGACTGAGGGTCAGTTTAAAGGAAATATCTGAGATGGTCAAAGCCTGAAAGAGCATGGGTTCCTCCCACTCAGGCACCAAAGCAGCCTTTGGTTCTCCCAGTCTTGTTTCTGCTTCCCTGCTCTGGCATCAACTATCAATGTCCTTGAGGTTGTAGACTTGCTCGCCGAGCTGATGTGTTTGATTGCAGATGTTTCATCACCCTGTTAGGTAACATCATCAGTGTGCTTCCGGTGAAGCGTTGGAGTTCTGTCCCGCTTGTTACTTATATGCCTCAGTTTGCTGGGGTGGTTGGCATCATTTCTGGTTCTGTTTCTCAGTAGTTTGTATATCGAGTCCAGTTCAATGTGTTTGTTGATGGAGTTCCAGTTGGAATACCAGGCTTCCAGGAATTCCCTGGCATGTCTCTGTTTGGCTTGTGCTATAATGGATGTGTTGTCCCAGTCGAATTCATGTCTTTCTTTGTCCATGTGTACTGAGGCCAGTGAGAATTGGTCATGTCCCTTAGTGGCTAGTTGGTGTTTGTGTATCCTTTATTGTTAGTTTTCTTCCAGTTTGGCCTTTGTAATGTTTCTCACAGTCCTTGCATGGTATTGTGTATATTACATTAGTTTTATTGGTTGTGGGTATGGGATCCTAATGTAATATACAGCGCCTTCTGGAAATGTAGAGACCAGGGAAATGTAACTGAATCACTATACGGAAGTTTTCTACATTGATGCAGCCACTCCCGGGAGTCTTGAGTAACATTTACTTATCCTCTCGGGTGAGAAGGATAAAGCATAGCGACTGATCTGACAAAGAGTGAGAAAAGAAACTTTTTTTTTAATCCATGGATTTGAGTCAGGAAACTGTGCAATGTGATTGATGCAGGGTTTGGTTTGATTTACAGCTCAGAACACAATGGCTGGAAAGGACCAAGGAATCAGCTCTGAGCTGATTAGTGTAGAAGTGGAGGCTAGCAATGTCCCTGACCTAACATTGATCGATCTGCCAGGAATTGCAAGAGTGGCAGTTGGGAGCCAGCCACAGGATATTGGAGACCAGGTAATGTAGAACAGCAGAAAAACAACCACATCAGTCACTGCCACAGGGGAGTGTATTGTGTGCTCCACTGGGTACTTGAAAACTTTTGGTTATGTGTTAAAGAACAGAGTTTATGTATGTGTCTTTCTCTCTGTATATGCCAATATATGAATTAGGAACAGGACCCTACCCTTCCCTTCAAAAAGATGATGGCTGATCTGATTGTATTTTGAATTCCACATTCCCAGCTCTCTTCGATAACCCTCAGACCCCATGTCTAACAAGAATTGACTCACTTTTCTGTCTTAAAAATGTTCAAGGTCCCCACTTCTATGACTTCTAAGGCAGACAGTTCTAAAGTTGCACAGCCCTCAAAGAAAACATTCTTCCTATCTCTGTCCTGAAGGGACAACTCTTAATTTTAAAACACTGTGTCAACTACAAATTTAGCTACCATACTTTTGCTTGTTTATCTAAGTTATTGATATAAATTGTAAAAAGCTGAGGCTGCAGCACAGAGCCTTGGGTTGTTCCACTTATGAAATCCTTCCTATCAGTCAAGGACACATTTATGCACACTCTCTGTTTTCTTTAAGCTGGTCAGTCTTCTATCATGTTAATATTTTATCCCCTACACCTTGAGCTTTTATTTGTGCAATAAGATTTCATGTGGCATATACTCAGACCTTCTGGAAATCTGAGTATAACATGTGTATAGGCTCCCACTTATCCATAGCACATTACTCATTCACCTGTTTTTCTAATCAACCTGTTCAGAGATGTTATCGCAAACTTCTGGAACAATTGGAATTTGAACCCGGGCCTACCTGTCCAGGGATAGGGACACTACCACTGCACCAAAAGAGAGCTGCTAATATTTCATTTTTTTAAAAAAAAATAATTCAAAGCCTACATCAACAGATTTTGACTGTGCCTGTTACAGACAACTCAATTATGTATGTGGTCCTGCTTCTTACATAGGAGCAAGAGTAGGTCATTCAGCCCTTTTAGACTGATTGTGGCTGATCTGTTGTCCACTTCCATTTTTTTTTTCAACTTGTTCAGAAATGTTATCACACACCTCTGGAGCAGGTGGGACATGAACCTGGGCCTCTTGATCCAGGGGAAGGGACATTACCACTATACCACAAGAGCCCTTACATAGTAGACCTTCAACCTGTTTTTCTGATCAACCTGTTCAGAGATGTAATTACACACTTCTGGTTTGGGTGAGACTTGAACTCAGGCCTCCCAGTCCAGGGGTAGGGAGACTACCTCTACATCACACGAGCCCCATTACTCCTTCGAAAGCTAACTAATTAGTTAAACATGATTCCCCTTACTGAAAACCATGTTAACACTAATTGCCAGCTATGACCTTTTTAATGACTAATTGACAGATATTAAGTGAAGTGGTCTATAGTTTCCTTTTTTTTTGCCCTCGTTGCGTGGATGGGTAACATCCACTGTGCCTTCATCATCCTCTTTTCTCATCTATGCTTCTGTCTCTTTAGGCTAACCTGTCCAACTCACTCTTCATTCCACTTGCCTGTTTCAATCCCACCTCTTTTTTTTTTTAAGTCTTTTGAGACATTTCTTTTTCCCTTTGGTACAAGCTTACCCGTGTCATGCATGGGACTGGTGAACAACAAGTCACTTTGATTTATTTAAAGACTCTTAATGATATTACAATTACATACACATTTCAAGGTAGTTAGATGTACTCTTGAGATAAAGCATCGGATGCAATTCCTACCCTATTGATTGGCTGATGGTCACATGCTGCTTTATATTCCTGGCTGTTTGATACTTTGCATTTTCTCTTAAAGTAGTAGTCCCATCTTGTGTCTTGTTTAAACTCTCCTGAACTTAACCATTCCTCACTCCTCTTGTGTCCAGTCTTTTCTTGCTCACTGCTAGTTCTGGTTTGAATTTGTATTTAAAATCCACCTTCTCTTCGCTGTGACTCAATGGTAACACCTTCAGCATTGTATCTAAGGAATGCTGCACTGTCAGGGGTGTCTGTCTTTTTTTGCAACCTGCTTTCTCGGGTAGAAACAAAAGATTTCACTATTTTGAACAAGTCTTTGGGGGGGGTCAGTTGGGAAGGTCCTTTTGTTGTCTTCGTCAACATCTTTTAAAAAAGATTTATGATATTCCTATTTGTGAGACACTGCTGAGGAATACAGCATCAAGAGCAAAAACAAAGTTGCTGGAAAAGCTCAGCAGGTCTGGCAGCATCTGTGAAGGAGAAATCAAAGTTAACATTTCGGGTCTGGTGACCCTTCTTCAGAACTGCATCAAGAGCAGGCCATTTAGCACCAAATGTCTGCTCCACCCTTTTATGTTACATTGTTAGTCCAATCAGGACGTTGTAAAATTAGAGTATGACTTCCACCTTTTCATTATGATCCAAACAGCTATTTGAAGAAGTAATTGGAGCCAATCTTTGCAGGTTTTCATAAATATTTAATGACAGATTTAGAGAATAAGCAAGCATGATAGCTTCAGTCTGAGTCTAACTATATTTTTGGTATTAATGAAGCCCCAGTTGATGTGCACTACTTGCCAGCAAATAAATACAATTAATATATAATTGAAATCTTTGGACAGTGTTTTATTGCATTAGATATAACAATTAACATTCTGTAAATCTTATCGAAATTATTTTCTGTGCATAAATTGGCTACTATTTTAAATTACTTCATTGATTGTAAAGTGCTTTGGAATATGCTGAGGACATGAAAGGCAGAATATAAATTAATGTCAAGGTGATTCTTGTGGCACAGTGGCAGTGGTCTACCTCTGAGCTAGGAGGCCTGGGTTTGAGTCCCATCTGCTCCAGAAGTGTGTTATTACATGTTTGAACAAGTACATTAAAAATATCGATAAATTTGTGGACACGTGAATTCTGAGGAAGGGTCACCGGACCTGAAATGTTAACTCTGACTTTACTCATCACAGTTGCTGCCAGAGCTCCTGAGCTTCCAGCAACTTCTGTTTTTGTTCCTGATTTACAGCATACGCAGTTCTTTCGGTTTTTATCGATTAAATCCATGTCTTTCTTTAATGAATCGATTTTCTTCCACATTCCTGCAGATCAAGCAGCTGATCAAATCTTATATTAGTGAAGATAAGACCATTAACCTTGTTGTCATCCCATGTAATGTTGACATAGCAACCACAGAGGCCTTGAAAATGGCCCAGGAGGCAGATCCTTCAGGGGACAGAACTTTGGGTAAGAGACAAACTCTATATTTCTACTAAATGTTCATTGTAGCAAAAATTAACAAGGGTGAACTGAATTAGTTCTGTTTGTGGAATAACTCACGTTGCCTTCAGTGAACATTAAAATCTGGAGGCATTTCACAGGCAAATTTTCAAAAGTAAATCTGACACAAACGACAGCGTTAGGAAAGACAGCCAAGTGCCAGGCCAAAGATAAGTTTTTGAGGAGCAAAAAGAAATATAGGCAGAGAGATTAAGGAGGAAATTCCAGAGTTTGCAGCCTTGGCAACCACAGGGCAACCAATGGTTGTAAAAATTGAAGCTACATAGGATTATGATTGGAGCAGTGCAGGAATCTTGAAGGGTTTGGGGTTCGAGAGGGTGAAGCCCTAGAGTGTTTTGTAAACAAACATGAGAATCTTTAATAGACAGAATTTTGCCAGATCAGGAAGAGATGTCGATCAGGATGGGTGCAGTGTGCCAGGAGTTAGGAAATGGGCAGCAAACTGAAATGTTTGGTCGATGAACGTGCTGGCCCTAAGTTACTTGGAATTGCGTAGCCTGAAGTTACAAATACATATCAAAATGAATCAAGAATCAGACAATTCTTTTATCTTAAACTAAAATGTCCATTTTTTAAGGTGCGCTGTTAGAGTTTTCCAGCCTTCTGCTGCCAAGCTGGAAGCTCTGTTTCAAGTGGGCTAAGTCTTCAAGATATTAATAGGAAAAGACAGTGTAGACAAAGATAACCTATTTCCACTGGTTGGGGATACTTGATAGGGTCATTGTCTAAATATTAGGGCCAGACAGTTCGGGAGAAATGTCTGGAAGCACTTCTACGCAAAGTCCAAATGTTCAAGCCCATAGTTCCCTGAAAGTGGCCATGCAAGTAGATAGGGTGGTAAAGAAGGCACATGGCATGCTTACTTTTATTGGTTGGGAAACTGAGTGCAAGAGTCAGGATGTCATGGTGCAGTTCTATAAGAACTTGGTTAGGCCACACTTGGACTCCATTTTGATCGCTACATTACAGGAAGGTGTGGAGGCTTTGGAGAGGGTGCAGAAGAGGTTTACCAGGATACTGCCTAGATTAGAGGGTATGAGCTATAAGGAGAAGCTCGAAAAACTCGAGTTGTTTTCGTCTGGAGCGGTGGGGGCTGAACGAAGGCTTGATAGAAGTCTATAAAATTATGAGGTGCATGGAGTTGACAGTCAGAATCTTTTTCTCAGAGTTCAGATATCTAAAACTAGTGGGCATGCATTTAAGGTGAGAAGGGGCAAGTTCAAAGGAGATGTGAGGTGCACATTTTTTTTCCAGAGTGGTAGGAGTCTGGAACATATTGCCAAGGGTAGTGGTGGAGGCAGATACAATAGGGGCATTTAAGACACTTTTAGATAAGCACATGAATATGCAAGAAATGGAGGGATACTGTCCAAGGGCAGGCAGGAGGGATTAGTTTAATTTGTCATCATGTTCGGCACAATGTCATGGGCTGAAGGGCCCATTTGTGTGCTGTATTGTTCTATGTTCTAAAAGGTGGTAGCGGTTTGGAACTATACTCCTCAAATGATGATTGATGCTAGACCAGTTGTTAATTTTAAGTTTGGAGATTGCTTAACAAGAATTGATCTAAAGGTATTAAGGGATGTGGGCCAAAGGCAGATAAATGTAATTAGTCTGCAGATCAGCAGTATGGCCTACTCATGTTCCTATGTTGTGAGATGTGGACTAAATCTTAGAAACTCTACCTTTTTTTTTAAAAAAGAAATGTTGTTTATATAGGCCCTCTGGGGAAATGTTCATTTTGAAGTAAAAAGACCTTGAAATGTGGTTACTTCAAAAACTCAAACATTGAGTCAGCCCATCATTCCATTGCTAATTACAACAATAACCCTTTTTTACCCACCCCACCCCACCACACCACATCCCCCTCCCTCAACCTACCACCATCCAGCTCCAGATGTAACAAAATGGATAAAAGCCAAATACTACAGATATTCAAAATCAAAAATAAAAGCAGGAAGTGCTGGAGAAACCCAGCAAGTCTCGCAGTATCTGTGGATAGAGGAACAGAGTTAACATTTTGAGTCCAATATGACTCTTCAGAACCGCATCTCCAGCACTTCCTGCTTTTTTCAAAATTTAAATATATCTTTTCACCATCATCCACGCTTTAGAAACTGGTAGCGAGCAACATGCTTTCAGAACCTTCTCCTTTAGCCCATTGATATATTAATAAATACAATAAGGGTATCACTCTTTGAATATTGTCTAGTGGTTTAATTTTACGTAGAGAATTCAGTGATGAGGTTTCAATGTAGTGGACTGTAGTGTCTATCCCAGATGTTATTCTGAGGATTTTCTGTTTGTGTCAAAGTTTCATGGAGCCAGAGGGAGGTTTCTGATTTACATGGTGGTGGAAGGTGTCCAAGGTTTCAGGCATTCTAAGATTTCAGTTTCTAAGATTTAGACCACATTTCACAACACAGAACAGGAATAGGGCAATACAGTCCCTCAAGCCTGAGATCATGGCTGATCTGCAGACTAATTACATTTACCTGCCTTTGGTCCACATCCCTTAATACCTTTGCTTAACAAATATTGATCAATCTCCAACTTTAAAATTAACAACCGGTCTAACATCAACCACTATTTGAGGAACACAGCTACAAAACTCTCCTACCTTTTTTGTATCAAAGGCTGCTGAAGAAGCTGGAGGTTTTGTCTGTGGTCTAGGCTGCCAGAGAGAGGAGAAATGGAGTGGGAAACAATTCACCCACTTCTCAATTACAGATGTGTAAAGTAAACTTTTCAATTTGAAGTCCTCTTTGAGGGTCCAAACAGATTCATGGCCAAGAATCTTACGTGGGCCCCACTTGTACGTTCACTGGTTATGGATTGTGTCTCTCTCGACTGAGAAGCAGTGGGGGAGGGGGAGGAGCACAAATAAATGATATTTTACAAATACTGTGCCACAGAAGGAGGCCTTACAGTCCATTGTACCTGCACCAGCTCTCTGAGCAGTTTACTGAATGCTATTTCCTCCACTTTGCCCTACACCCCTGCACATTGTGCCTTTTTAAATTCCCTTTTGAAAGCTTTGATTAAACCTATCTTTACGGCATTCTCAGACAACTTATTCTAGACCCTAACTATTTCATTGCATGAAAGTGCTTTCTCATGTTGATTTGCTTCTTTTGCCAATTTCTTTTAAGTCTTGTTCTCATTTCTTTCACGAGTGGGAGCAAGTTTCTCCTGACCTACTCTATTCGGATTCCTCATGATTTTGAACGTTTCCATCAAACCTCCACTTAGCCTTATCTTCTCCAAGGAAAGCAGTCCACGCTTCTCCGATCGGTCTTGATCACAGTTCCATGCTGAGAAATTTCATTCTTGTGAATCTGTTCTGCATTCTCCTTAAAGTGCAGTGCCCAGACTGGATACAATGTTCCTGCTGAGGCTGAAATAATTTGTTATCCAAGTTTGACATAACCTCCTTGCTCTTGTACTCGCTGCCTGTATTTATAATGCCGAGGATACTGTGTGCTTTATTAACTACTACCTGTCTAGCCACCTTTTGACATAGAGGCATCTGCAACCAGTTGCCACTCCTCCTAAACTGTTTATAGTTGTTCCCTTTATTTCATTTTTCTCTCCCCATATTCTTCTCATCAAAATGAATCACTTCACATGTCTTTGCATTGACCATTATCTACAGCCTGTTTGCCCATTCCACCAACTTATTTATGGTCCATCTGAAATTTTGGATATTTGTAATCTATTCATCCCGTTCATACCAAATCAAAATTTTGCATCTGTGCTGGCCCTTTGGAGGAACAATTTTCTTGGTCCCACTTTTCCTGGATATCCCTTCAATATTTTTCTTGCTGACCTATGAGTAGAGCTGATGGTGTTCCCAACCATCTGTTGCCTATGTCCTTCGATCTATTTTCTGACTCATTTTGTGTCTGACCTAATTATATGTTATCGGACGTTGGATTCCCCATTGTAAAAGAGTATTCTGTTTCCCAGCTGAAAAATAAGATGAAGTGAAGGTGAAAGAGTATGAAGGCTGTGAGACTTATTTTATTCTTGTGTGGGAATTGAGCATCACTGGTGAGGGTGGTGTCTGTTTCCCATCCTTACTTGCCCTTGGAACTGGTTGGCCACCCAGACCATTTCAGAGACTGGTTAAGAGTCACCTATTTTGCAGGGATCTGGAGTCACCTTTGGGCCTGACCAGGTACTGACAGCAGATTTCTGTCCCTGAATGGCGTCACAAGTGAGAAGAGATTTTATGACCGTTGTGACATGGTTGCCACTAGAGTAGCTTTTAATGCCAGATTTTACTGAATTCAAATTTCACCATGGTCGGATTCAAATGTAGCATGCAGAACATTAGCGTGGGATTCTGGGATTACTAGTTCAGTGACATTATCACTATGCCACTACCTCCCTAAGTAACCAGATGGTTTCTAAGCAGATGAAACCCTTGCAGAGACCCGATTGGGCCAAATGGCCTGTGCCTGTGTTGTAATGTTCTCTGACTCCACTGTATGTTGCTGCAGCCTTATCATTGTTGTTTCCAGGAATATTAACAAAGCCAGATCTGGTTGACAAGGGGACAGAAGAAAGCATCCTTAAAATAATCAGAAATGAGGTTGTTGCCTTGAACAAAGGTTACATGGTTGTGAAATGCCGTGGACAGCAAGATATTAATGCCCAACTGACCCTGGTAGAGGCACTGGAGAGGGAGAAAGCTTTTTTCAAAGAAAGTGAGCTTTTCAGGTAAGGTTACATTAAAAAAAAAATGAAACGTTGAAAATTTTGTTGACTTTGTAAGTTCATAAGATGTGGAAACAGACCATTGAGTCCACTCCTCTATTCAATGAGATCATTGATAATCCTCGACTCCGCATTATTGCCTTATCCCAGAACAGTTGATTCCCTTAATGATGAGAAATTTCCTCCATGTAAACATATTTGACAATATACTGCAGTCATGTGTGAAAGCAAAAATAAAAGGCAATTTCCAACCCAACTGCATCCAATTTTAACTTCTGAGGAAGGGTCACCGGACCCGAAACGTTAACTCTGATCTTTTTCTTCATAGATGCTGCCAGACCTGCTGAGCATTTCCAGCAACTTCTGTTTTTGTTCCAATTTTAACTCACCTGGAAACCAAATGAGGTGGTCAGTTGGAAAATTTCACCCACTCTGATTCTCAAGAATCTTAATGACTCTTTTGAATGGGACTCTCGCCAGAAGAGAGTGGGGTCCTTTTAAATATGAAAACGTGTGTGTGTGACCGATGGCAATGACAAGGTGAAGCATTGAATCATTTCTCAGTTAAGTCATTTCTGCAAAGTTTGTCATAAGTAAGAGATTGCCTCGCAAACAAATCTTGCCTTTCCTTGTCCCTGGGACAGCACCCTTCTCTCTTCCAACCTTAATACCCCACACTAGCCACAATGTCAGTCGTTAAAGTTTGCTGGACCTCCATGTTCTGAGGATTGTTGTTCACTTTGAGGTTCCTGTGCATTCTGTCCTCTTTTGAGAGGAATTGAACATGTGAAATGAGGAACATTTGATGCCACAAATGGCATTGACCATGTTCAGTGTGCTGTCATCAGGGATATTGCATCAAGTGACCCCCAACCACCACCACCTCCCGGTCTGGCAAGAATGGAAGTCTTTTCTGTAGGTTTGTGTAAGAAGTGACTATACCCCCAACAGACTGTCCACCTGACTGTCGGCAAAGGTTCAAGCAAATTTCATGAAGGTACTTTCACTAAATGAATGTAAGTATACACTGTAATAATTAAGACATCATTTGAACAAAGAACCATTTTATTATCTCCTAAAATACACCAGAAGTTCTCCACCAGTCAGCCATTTTCTTTCCCACTTTCGAATGTGGCTTTTCTTTTTAAAAACAAAATCATTTTTGATGCAGAAATTTAGATTCCTGCTGTACAGTCACCGAGTGTTACATGACATTTTCTTTCCAAAATTTGTCAAATTCCAACCTTCCCTCAAATACTTTGGAAAACCTTTCTGATGCTGAATGCCTGTTGAGTGACATCAAATTAATCTAAGCCAATCAATAACGAAAGAAAGTTAACAGTATTTTTTTTCTCAACAACGTCACCTCAATGGTCATTCTTCACAACCAGGGACTGTAGTAATGAATGTCAAGCTGTATTTTTGACTAATCATCAAAGCATTCAGTAGGACAGTGGAGGTGATGGGGATTCAAATGGTGGCTATTTCGTATTTCTGGAACCCCACGGAATCTCGAGATTCTGTCTGTCTATGTTGTCAACACCGTATGAATTGAACTGTCCTGGCTAATGGGCCTATAGTGACTTGTCTTCTTGAGGAGAGCCAACATATATGGCTTGTGCTCTGGAGACCTCACTAAAGCTGGATCAAAATTTCCCGACCATAAAGAGAGGGACAGAAAGGGACAGGCCAGATTCGGTTCAATAAAGGTTACAGAGGGACACAGATAAACTGCAGAGCTGGGCTGAGAGGTGGCAAATGGAGTTTAATGTGGAAAAGTGTGAGGTGATTCACTTTTTGGAAGGAGTAACAGGAATGCAGAGTACTGGGCTAATGGTAAGATTCTTGGTAGTGTGGATGAGCAGAGAGATCTCAGTGTCCATGTGCATAGATCACTGAAAGTTGCCACCCAGGTTGATAGGGTTGTTAAGAAGGCGTACGGTGTGTTAGGTTTTATTGGTAGAGGGATTGAGTTTCAGAGCCATGAGGTCATGTTGCAGCTGTACAAAACTCTGGTGCGGCCGCACTTGGAGTATTGCGTACAGTTCTGGTCACCGCATTATAGGAAGGATGTGGAAGCATTGGAAAGGGTGCAGAGGAGATTTACCAGGATGTTGCCTGGTATGGAGGGAAGGTCTTATGAGGAAAGGCTGAGGGACTTGAGGCTGTTTTCGTTAGAGAGAGGAAGGTTAAGAGGTGACTTAATAGAGACCTACAAGATGATCCGAGGATTAGATAGGGTGGACAGTGAGAGCCTTTTTCCTCGGATGGTGATGGCTAGCACAAGGGGACATAGCTTTAAATTGAGGGGTGATAGATATAGGACAGATGTCAGAGGTAGGTTCTTTACTCAGAGAGTAGTAAGGGCGTGGAATGCCCTGCCTGTAACAGTAGTAGACTCGCCAACTTTAAGGGCATTTGAATAGTCATTGGATAAACATATGGATGATAATGGAATAGTGTAGGTTAGATGGGCTTCAGATTGGTTTCACAGGTCAGCGCAACATCGAGGGCCGAAGGGCCTGTACTGCGCTGTTATGTTCTATGTTCTATGTTAACAGCTGCCACTTGCTGTTACAATACACAAGTTGCTGAAAATAGCTCTGCTCTGTTTTGAGAAATCTTTGAACCAGAGGTAATTGTTATGACCCCAGTTGATGGCAATACCATATCCAATCTCAGAGCAACCTAATTTAAAACACAGAGTGGTGGATGCTGGAAATCTGAAACAAAAACAGAAATTGCTGGAGAAACTCAGCAGGGTCTGCCAGCATCTGTGGGAAGAAAGCAGACTTTCACCGGACTCAAAACATTAACTCTGCTGTCTTCTCATAGATGCTGCCAGACCTGCTGAGTTTCTCCAGCAATTTCTGTTTTTTTTTCAAAGTGGAACCTGGCTTGATAGACCATAAGTTTTATCTTTTTAATCTGTGAGCAGTTATTGAACATAATCGCACAAAGCTGTCAATTTATCTTCTTAAAAGTCTGTTACACAAAATAAGAAATAAAAGCCAAAGAGCTTGACATAAACAGTAAAAAGAAACATTCAACCCTATTCCCAGTCATAACCCTTACAAGATACTCCGTCTTAGTGAGATATCACTCCAATGTCAACTCTTTTTCATTTAATCCTTAACTGACAAGGGTGCAAGCATTTCTCTCATCCCACGACCAACCCTCCCTCTCATCCCCGCCTTCTTGACCTGACATAACCTGTCCATCTTCTCTCCCACCTATCCGCCCCTCCCACCTCACTGACCAATCCCCACCACTGCCTACCTGCACTCACCTATCACCAGCCTACCCCTCCTCTCTCAATTTATTTCCCAGCTCCCTTCACCCTCCCCAGTTTCTGAAGAAGGGTCCCGACCCTAAACGTTAACTTTCCTGTTCCTCTGATGCTGCCTGGCCTGCAGTGTTCCTCCAGCTCCACACTGTGTTATATCTCACTCGGCAACTTTCTATACATTGATTCCATGTGATTCTCTCTGCTACTGTTTCTTCTTGAGGTACACAGATACCTGCCACTTCAATAGCTTTTAATTACAGAAATTTAAGAAAATCCCTGTCTACCTAAACTGCTAAAACAGTTTTAAGACTACTTTTTTGGCTCTGAAAGTCTAGACTGCCACCAGCTAAAGTGTACTTCTGTCAGTAAGAAATCTGACTGTAGCCTGGCTCAACTTTGGAAACAGTTCATCAATTAACTTATGGGATAAGTTCCACATGGCTTCTGGAAAATGATATTTGAACTCACTGTTTAAAAATGACTTTCTGACATCTTAAGATAAACAAGCCACTTTCACTGATCTAAAACCAAAAATCCATTTAACTCTACTTTAAAATCTAAATCCTCAAATGATGGCAATATATTTTTAATAAGCCTTTAACACACAATAAAACCATGAATAAATAACATTGGTGTAAATTCTGTTACCAAACATCCAGAAATAATATAAGGATAGAACGTGTTTGAAATGGTAGTCCAGTTTCCAGGAATTCAAAGTCATGTAGGGCTTCAGAAGGGGCCTCACACATTCCTGATGCCCTGACTCTAAAAATCCTCCAGCTCCACAGAAAGAGCCTGTAATGTAAGGTAAGAGTTTGCTTGCTTACTTTCCCTAAGCGTTGTTCATGCTGCAGGCCTTGGATTCATATCTGGCTACATCAGGGAATGGGGTTCTTCCAAAGACTGACTAAATTAAACACAACACCACACACCCTCAAAGAAGTGGAAGCATTCAGGATTATTAGAAAATAATCATGGCTAAGTGGATGGGCTGAAATCCCTCTCCTACCTGAAACCATTCCTGTGCAATGCAGCTGGGTCAGTAAGTTCTTTGGGGTTGGATGTCTGAAGAAACAAAAGAGCAGGAGGATGCCATTCAGCCCATCAAACCTGATACACCATTCTAGATCATTGCTGATCATCTACCTGCCATGTTCTGGTGTTACCCTCATATCTTGTTGTCATTGTTAACGAGAAATCGTTCAGTCTTCGTCTTGAACTTACTTCATGACTGAGCTTTCACAGCTCTCTGGGATGATTCATCACCCTCAGATGAAGAAATTCCCCTTCCTCTTGGTCCTCAATGGCCTGTCCTTTATTTTTGATACTGTGTCCCCAATTGTAGATCCCACATCCAGGAGAAACCTCCTTTCTGCTGCTACTCTATCGCTTCCCTTTAAGAAATTTATACTTTTCTTTGAGATTGCCTCTCATTCTTCTAAACCCCAGAGAGAACAGGTCAAACTTTCCTCGCAGTACATTCACACCAACCCAGGAATCTATGGGGTGAAACTCCATTGGACTCTGTGAATTGCAAGTATATCATTCCTTTGGCATGGGAACTGTAACTGCACATAAAACTCCAGGTGCAGTCTATTCAGTAGTTTTCTATACAATTGAAGAAAGACATATTTGCTTCAGTACTTAAATCCTTTTGCAATAAAGGTTAACATTCTGAATTGCTGGATGCACCTGTATGCTAGTTTTCAGTGAATTGTGAAGGAAAAGGACACCTAAGCGCCTTTGGATATACAGCAAACTTTGTTTTAATCGGCACTACATGGCCAGCACTCTAGATAAACCAGCAAAAGACATATCGCAATCTCCGCAATGTCTGAGTAGCCTGTTGAGAGGGGGCAAGTGAGAAGTTTTATTTGGAGTAAAGTTGCATTATTATTTGAGTGATTCGTGCACTAAATAAAGTATAACAGTGATGTGTACACACTCTGCGTTATGTTTCTATGACTTAGTGATTTCACATTGTTTATACGCGCCTCTTGATCAACCACTACGCTCCTGATCCCACAGGTGCCGGTTAATGAAAGGTTTGCTGTAATACTTGCTGATCTCTCACCATTTACAAAATGCTCTACTCCTTTGTTCTTCCCACCAATAAGAGAATAACCTCACACACATCCATATTATATTCCATATGTAGTGACCCTGCCCACTCACTAGCCTGTCTGAATCCCCTTGAAGTCCACTTTGCATCCTTCTGACAAGTTGCATTCCCACCAACTTTTGTGTCATCAGCAAACTTGGAAATATTACAATTGGTCCCCATATACAAATCATTAATATAGATTGTGAACAGCTTGGGTCCAAGCATTAATTCTCGTGGTAGTCCACTGACTACAGCCTGCTAACCTGAAAATAACCCACTCATTGTTTTTTTCTGCTTTCTGCCTGTTAACCACCCTTCAATCTATGCCAGTATTTTAACCCAATCCAAAGTAACCTCCTGTGTATGACTTTAGCAAAATCCTGCTGAAAATTCAAATGCACCACATTATGGACTGGTTTCCCCATTATGGACTCTGCTAGTAACAGTCTCAAAAAAAACTGCTAGTGGGTTAATCGAACATGATTTTCCCCTCCAAAAATCCATGTTGACTATGTGCAATCTGACAGTTTTTTTGTTAATTTGCAGTAATCACACCTTTATAATAGATTTTAATATTTTCCCTACTACTGTATTCATATCAGAGTAACCGGTCTAGAGTTCCTTGTTTACTCCATCCTTTTTTAAGCAGTTGGGTTGCATTAGCAACTTTGCAAATGCCTTGTTGTGCAGGCATCATTGCAACAGTATTGGTCTGGCTCTCCTCTGGTGTTGTCTTATCAAATCTGGTTTCCCTCCTGGTCCTGCTGTGATTTCCAGTCCGTCATATTTACAGCGATTCTGGACAAAAACCTCTGCAACTGATCTCTTTGAACTACAATGAATGGTCCTGGCGAAATGCTCATTATAAACAAAGGTGCTCATTCTGGGCGTAGTTCAGCAGCTGAAGTAACATTGCGATGAGGCCACTTTGCCCTAACTCTCGAAATTCGTGCCTACCCACCAGTGTGAGAGACTGCCTTGTGGCCAATCAAAAATTCTGCGGATTTCTCGCTGGGAAACGAGAGGTCAGAAATTCCTAAGCATGTAAAGGTGCAAATTTTAACCTTTACACACTCCAGGAATTTTGGGGTCTGTGCCCTTAGCCATGATTTTTAACTCTGTGGTGAAAGTGGAGCTGAAAGGATATAGTGCTAAACTGACTTGAGTTGTGGTCCATTTTAGAATAGATTAGAATAGAATATCCTTTCTTGACACTCCCAGTCCTCTTAACACGCAATTTTCATTCCATCTGAATAGCAGGCTCGAGTTCCTAGTGGCCCAATTTATTCTGATACTGACTGAACTCCAGTAACCTTCATCCCCTGGAGATGGTAAGAACTGCCGATGCTGGAGTCTGCGATAACATTGTGTTATCGCACCTTCCTCCCCTGTTGCCTCCTGAAAATGTAAGTGTGATGTCTTTGTTCATTTTTTTTTTCTTTTGTCATGCAGAACGCTTTTGGAAGAAAAGGTGGCAACAATTCAGTGTGTGGCTGCCAGACTGACCACAGAACTTGTCAATCAGATTCGGGTCAGTAACACTCTCTACTTGTCTATTTTTATTAATGGCACCATAGGCACCAAGTATAGTAAAGCAATCTGTGTCTTAAGCAATAGTTTTGTACATAGAAATAATGGTGAGGGAAAATCGCAATAGTTTTTCCAGTTATTCCAAACTAATTGCCAACTCCTGCATCAGAGATACTAAAGAACAATGAGGTTCAGGGAGTTGGCAACATTCCTTTCCTAAAAAGCTTGTACATAAACAGAAGTTGCTAGAAAAGCACAGCAGGTCATATTTAACGTTTTGGGACCGGTGATCCTTCCTCCATTCTGAGACCAGACCTGAAACATTAACTCTGATTTCTCTTCACGGATGCTGCTAGACCTGCTGAGCTTTTCCAGAAACTTTTGTTTCTGTTTCTGATTTACAGCATCTGCAGTTAATTTGGTTTTTACAATTGCTGGAGGTTCAATATGGTAAAAAGATGTAAAGTAAGAAGTAATTGTAGCAGTGGAAGGGGTGAAGGTTGGGACAGTGATAAATATACCTTTGCCTCTTTGTTTGTTTAAGGTAACATGATTTCAAATATTTTTCTCATTAAAGAAAACCCTGCCGACCATAGAAAAAGAGGTTCGATGCAAAATTGCTGAAACGAGTAGGGAACTGGAGATGTTAGGATCGGGTGTACCAGAGGAGGATGAAGATAAAGTTCCTTTCCTCATTGACGTAAGTGCACAAGAGTTTTCTTTTTTATTTGGGCCTCAATCGAAGAAGAGCTTAGGCTTGTTCACCAATAGGTTGAGGGAATTCTTGGATTGACACGTATCAGTTTGACTGTGACCAAATAATAACTGTTTGCGAGCTAGAGTTTGGTGAGCATTGAGCTACTAAATGCATAGAATTTTCAAAATTGATACTGGATTATTGAGAACTATAGCTGACATTGTTTAGCATTGGGAAGGAGATGTCTGTAACTCTCTTGGAATGTTCCTTAATCTGGCATGAAGTTATGTTTGACCAAAATTGCTAAGCTATAGCAGGATAATGCTCAATCTGATAGAAACACAGAGAATGTTGGAGAACCTGAGCAGGTCTGGGAGAGAGAAACATTATTAATATTGTAAGTAAGGTATGACTGGTTTTCAGAATTTAATGTGATGGAGTAGCAGTATTCAATTGGATATTTACAACAATCCTAGAGCAGCAGAATTGCACTTCCTGTCACCAGCTTATTATTTCCTGATTTAAATTGAATTCAAATTCTCAAATGCAGGAATTTGAACTTATCTCTGGGCAACATAACATTGCAGGACAGCACTAGAATACAATTCTTGTTTATAATTATAATTACCCCTGCTGATACTAGGTCCATGCATTGGGAAAGTGTTATTTTCCCTTGAGCCAGAAATCTCCATTTTACTAAGTACTACTAAAGTTATAATCTCCAGATTACTTCCAGTGCCTTGTGCTACTAAGTATTGGAATAGGAAGATGACCGTGTGGCTAAAGGGATAGTGTAGGAGGGAGAGCTTCAGATTTTTAGATCATTGAGACAGTTCTTGGGGTAGGTGAGACCTGTGCAAGCTGGATAGGTTGCACCTGAACAGGAATGGGTCTTACTTCCTTGCTGGGAGGCTTACTCGTACTGTTAGGGAAATGGGGTAGAACGTTGATGTAAATTTGGAGCAAGGTCCAATCAGATATAGAGGAGATACTAGGACAGAGAGAGAAGACATGGGTATGTTAAGGCACATGGGAGAATGGGGAAACAAAATTATATCAATTTCAATGCAAGGAACTTGATGGTAAGGCCGATGAATTTAAAGCATTGCTCAGCACGTGGGAATATTATATTGCAATCACTGAGACATCTTTGTAGGAATGATGAGACTGGCAGCTTGACATTCCAGCGTCTAGAAGTTTCAGGAGTGATGTGATGGGTGGGGGGCGCGATGTAACAGAATTGGGGCATTGCATTATTGATGAAGGAGACCATCACTGCAGTAATGAGGGACGATGTCTTAGGCTTTTCAAATTAGGCCACATGGGTAGAGCAAAGAAATATAAAAATGTGCTCCAGAACCTCACCATCTCACTAAAATCCCCAGTTACATTGTCTTTTCCTTTGTGAATGCAGATGTGAAATGTGCATTTCTACTGGCTGCATACACATTTTGCCCCCTTGGTCTCTAAGAGGCCCCACCATTTCCCTTCAGACCTCCTAACAGTCAGAGGGAGATGTGGGAGCAGATATGTGGACAAATCAGAAAGGTGTGAGAGGAATAAAGTCAGAGTAATAGGAGATTGACTGGGATCACCTTCGTGCTAAAGGATTAGACAGAGTGGAATTTTTAAAGCACATTCAGGAGACCTTTCTGTGCCAGTACGCAGGTAGTCCTATTAGAGATGGGGCAGCGCTGGACCTGACCTGAGGGATTGAAGTTGGTCAAGCGGTTGAAGTGTCAATGGATGACCATTTTGGGAATAGTGACCATAACTCTGTTAAGTTTAAAAGTTCTTGTGGAAATTGATTCGAAAAGTGCAGAAGTCTAAATTGGGAAAAGGCTAATTTCAATATCATTCGACAGGATCTGGCAAACATAGACTGTGAGCAGCTCCTTGCGATAAGTCTACATTTGGAAAGTGGGAATCTTTTAGAAGTAGAATTGTAAGAGTTAAAGACCAGTGTGTTCCTGTGAGAGAAAAAGCAAGGGCAGCAAGTCCAGAGAAACCTGGAATATTGAAATTTTGACCAAGAAACAGAAGGAAGCATTTGTCAGGTACAGTGCATTAAAACATGGGGCGACTCTTGAGTATAGAGATTGTGGGGGGAGGGGTGCTTTAAAAAGGAAACGAGAAGGGCAAGGAGGGGTGCGAAATATCTTTAGCAGATAGGATTGCAGAAAACCACGAGGCATTTTATAAGTATGTGAAGGACAAGCAGATTACCAGGGAAAAAGATGGTGCCTAATCGAAACCAAGGGTCAACTGTGTGTGGAGTCAGTGGACATGCAGAGATCTCAAATAAATACTTAGCATCTGTATTCACAAAGGAAAGGACAATGTAGCTGAAGATTACAGTTGAGATGGTGAGGTTCTAGAGCATATTAAAATTACTAAGGAGGAGATATTAGATGTGGGCATAAAGGTACGTAAATTCCCAGGCCTAATGATTTATATCCCAGGCTGCAATGGGAAGCAAGGGAGGAGATTGTTGGGGCCCTGGTAATTTAACTTAATACTTCACTGACCACAGGGGCAGTACCAGATGGCAGGACGATAATTAATGTGGTTCCTTTGTTCACCAAGGGCAGTGGGGATCGGCCATGTAATTGCAGACCAGTTAGTCTGATGTCAGTGGTAGAGAAATTATTGGAAAGAATTCGGAGAGGGACTAGATTAATTAACACTTTGAAAGGCAGGGATAGTCTGACTAATTTACTTGATATTTTTGAAAATATAAACATATTGATGATGGTAGGGCAGTTGATACAGTTTACATGGACCTCAGTAAGGCCTTTGACAAGGTGCCACATTGGAAGGCTGGTGGGATCCAAGGTAAGTTGGCAAACTGGATTCAAAATTTCCTTGCAAACAGGAAGCAAAAGGTAATGGTGGAGGGTTGTTTTTGTAATTGGAAACCTGCGACTGTCTGTACCACAGGGATCGGTGCTGTGAATCTTGTTGCTTTTTAAGGACATTAGTAACTTGAATGTGAATTAATAAGCTTGTAAATGATACAAAAATAGGTGGTATTGTTGATCAAGGGGAGGATGGTCTCAGTCTACTACTGTCTGCTGTCGATCAGCTGGTAAATTGGGCAGAACAATGGCAGATGGAGTTTAATCCTGGTAAATGTGAGGTGATGTATTTTGGTAGGTCTAATAAAGGGAGGATTTATGCAATGAATTGTAAGGCCTGTAGGGCATACAGAAAAACAAAGGGACCTTGGTGTATAAATCCATAGATCCCTGAAGGTGTCAGCGCAGGTAGACAGGGTAGTGAAGTAGGCATACAGGATGCTTGCCTTCATTAGTCAGGGTTTAGAATATAGGAGAAAGGATGTCTCGTTGCAACTGTATAAAACATTGGTTAGTCCGCAGGTGGGAATACTGTGTGAGTTTCTGGTTGCCACATGATCAGAAGGATGTGATTCACTAAACGGGGTGCAGAGGATGTTGCCTGGGATGAAAAGTCTCAGTTATGAGGCAAGACTGGATTGACTGAGTTTATTTTCCTGGGAGCAGAGGAGGCTGAGGGGTGAATCTAATTGAGGTGTACAAAATTATGAGCGACATTGACAGGGTAGATTGTGAGAATCTCTTACCCATGGTAAACATTTCCAAGACCTGAGGGCACAAGTTGAAGATGAGCAGTAAGTGGTTTTGAGGAGATCTGAGGAAAAGGTTTTCCTTCATCCAGAGGATGGTAGAAATATGAAATGTGCTGCCTGAGAAGGTATGAAGGCAGGGTACACTCGCAATATTTAAGGAGCATCTGGATGAGTATTTAAAATGCCAGAGCATCATAAACTATGCAGCTAAATGGGGTTAGTGTTGTTTGTAGTTTGTTGGTCAGCATAGAAATGGTGGGCCTCTTTCTATGCTGTATGACTCTAAAGAGATATCACATTTTTGTTTCTAATTAACTGTGAAGATCCTGAAGAGGAAGTGAAAAATGTTTTTATAGGTTTGGTGCTCAGGTTACGGTTAAAGACGAACATAAATACTAACTTTTCAATGAACTGCAGAAAATTAGAGGCTACAGTGAAGACCTTTCCAACCTAACAATTGGAGAATATTCAAGGGAATATGACGATGACATGAAAATATACACAGTGGTCCGAAAGAGTTTTGGGAAATGGCATGATCTTCTTGATGAAGATCAGACAGAGTGTAAGTGATCAATCAGCTTCCATTAACATTGTGATTGTCCATTAAATTTGATCAAGTCTATAAATGCCTTACATGAAAGATTGTGTTTCAGGAACTACAAAAATGCTCACAGCTAATGATGTTATCAATATTAGATTGTCAGAAAAACAGCAACTGGTTTGTGTTCTGTCAGTTTGAATGAATGCAGGGTGGTGAAGGATCAGGTGATCTACTGTTAAACATAGGAGGAGGAGGAGGCCATTCGGCCCTTCGAGCTTGCTCCACTATTCATCACAATCATGGCCGATCGTCCAACTCAATAGCCTAATCTTGCTTTCTCCCCATAATCTTTGATCTCCTTCACCCCAAGTGCTATATCTAGCCACCTCCTTGAATACATTCGATGTTTTGGCATCAACTGCTCCCTGTGGTAATGATTCCACAGGCTCACCACTCTGTGGGTGAAGAAATGTCTCCTCATTCCATCCTAAATGGTCTACCCTGAATCTTCGGACTGTGACCACTGATTCTGGACACACCCACCATCGGGAACATCCTCCCTGCATCTACACTGTCTAGTCCTGTTAGAAATTTGAGTCTCTGAGATCTGCCCTCATTCGTCTGAACTTCAGCGAAAACAATCCTAACCTAATCAATCTCTCCTCATATGTCAGTCCCGCCATCCCCGGAATCAGCCTGGTAAATCTTTGCTGCACTCCCTCAAGCAACAGCATCCTTCCTCAGAAAAGGAGACCAAAACTGCACACAATATTCTAGGTGTGGTCTCACCAAGGCCCTGTACAACTGCAACAACGCATCCCTGCTCCTGTACTCGAAACCTCTCACAATCAAGGCCAACGTACCATTTACCTTCTTTACCGCCTGCTGCACCTGCATGCTTACCTTCAGCGACTGGTGCACAAGGACACCCAGGTCCTGCTGCACACTCCCCTCTCCTAATTTACAGCCATTCAGGTAGTTATCTGCCTTCTTGTTTTTGCTTCTAAAGTGAATAACCTCACATTTATCCAAATTATACTGCATCTGCCATTGGTTTGCCTACTCACCCAACCTGTCCAGATCATGCTGAAAGATTTCTGCATCCACGCCACAGTTCTCCCCGCACTCCCCCCTCCCCCACCCCAAACCCAACTTGGTATCATCTGCAAACTTTGAGATGTTACATTTTATTCCCTCATCCACATCATTAATATATATTGTGAATAGCTGGGGTCCCAGCACCAATCCCTGTGGCACCCCACTAGTTACTGCCTGCCAATTTGAAAAGGACCTATTAATTCCTACTCTTTGTTTCCTCTCTGCCAACCAGTTTCCTATCCATCTCAATACACTTCTCCCAACCCCATGCACTTTAATCTTGCACATTGATCTCTTATGTGGGACTTTGTCACACTTTTTCTGAAGGTCCAAATATACCACATCAACTGGCCCCTCTTGTCAAATCTACTAGTTACCATCTCCATAGAATTCCAACAGATTTGTCAAGCATGATTTCCCCTTTGTAAATCCATGCTGCATCTGTCTGATCCTGCCACTGCTTTCTAAATGTTCCGCTATAAAGTCCTTGATAATGGATTCAAAAATTTTCCCCATTTTAGGGTTAGGCTTACTGGTCTATAATTCCCTGTTTACCCTCTATCTCCCTTTTTTGAGTATTGGAATGACATTCGCCACCTCCAATCTGCAGGGACTGTTCCAGAGTCTATAGAATCCTGGAAGGTTATCACCAATGCATCCACTATTTCTAGAGCTACTTCCTTAAGTACTCTAGGATGTAGATTATCAGGCCCAGATTTATCTTATTCCCTTTTCTATCTTTTTGTTTTTGTCCTTGCCCCCGCCTTCTCTGACTCCTTACTTTGCTTCCCATCACCCTGGCATATTAGTTTAAACCCTCCCAACCGCTCGAGCAAACACTCCCCCTAGGACATGAGTCCCAGTCCTGCCCAGCTGTAATGTGTCCAATTTGTACAGGTCCCACCTCCCCCAGAACCGGTCCCAATGCCCCAGGAATCTGAAACCCTCCCCCTGACACCATTTTTTCAGCCATGTATTCATCTGATATATCCTCTCATTTCTACTCTGACTAGTATGTGGCACCGGTAGTAATCCTGAGATCACTACATTTTGAGGTTCGATTTCTTAACTTTCTTCCTAGCTCCCCTGTATTCTGCTTTTAGGACCTCATCCTTTTTTTTTTAACTCATGTTGTTTGTACAGATGTGTACCACGATCACTGGCTGTTCACTCTCCCACTCTCCCACTCTCCCACTCTCCAAGGTCCTGTATCCACTCTGAGACATCCTGGAGCACCAGGGAGGTAACATTCCATCCTGGAGTCTCGTTTGCGGCCACAGAAATGCCTGTCTATTCCCCTTACAATTGAGTCCCCTATAACTATTGCCCTGGCACACACTTTTCATCCCACCCCTCTGCAGTAGGACCAACCGTGGCGCAATGTGTTTGGCTGCTGTTGCTTTCCCCTGAGGTCATTCCCCTCAACAGTATCCAAAACGGTATATCTGTTCTGCGGGGAATGGCCACCCTTGTTCTGTCTGTTTTTTTTCCCTCTATTCATTTGTGGGATGTGGGTGTTGCTGGCTGGCCAGCATTATGGCCCGTCCCTTGTTGCCCTTGAGAAGGTGATGGTGAGCTGCTTTCTTCAACCACTGCAGTCCATTTGCTGTGGGTTGACCCACAATGTCATTAGGAGGGAATTCCAAGATTTTGACCCAGCGACAGTGACGGAACAGTGATATATTTCCAAGTCAGAATGGTGAGGGGCTTGAAGGGAAACTTGAAGGTGATGGTGTTCCCATATGTCTGCTGCCCTTGTCCTTCTAGATGGAAGTGGTCATGGGTTTGGAAGGTGCTGTCTGAGGATCTTCCTTCAGCGCATCTTGTAGATAGTACACACTGCTACTACTGAGTGTCAGTGGTGGAGGAAGTGGATGCTTGTGGATGTAGGGCCAATCAAGCAGGCTACTTTGTCCTGGATGGTGTCAAGTTTCTTGAGTGTTGTTGGGGCTGCAGATATTTAGGCAATTGAGGACTATTCCATCACACTCCTGACTTGTGCCTTGCAGATGGTGGACAGCTTTTAGGTATCAGGAGGTGAGTTACTCACCACAGTATTCCTAGCTTCTCACTTGCTCTTGTAGCCACTGTGTTTATGTGGTAAGTCCAGTTGAGTTTCTGGTCAATGTTAACTCCCAGGATGTTGATACTGGGGGATTCAGAAATGGTAACACCATTGAATGCCAAGGGGCAGTGGTTAGATTGTCTCTGATTGATGGTCCACCTTGTATTCGTGTGGCATGAATGTCAATTGCCACTTATCACTTGCCACTTGTCGGCTCAAGCCTGGATATCATCCAGATCTTGTTGCATTTTAACATGGACTGCTTCAGTATCTGAGGAGTCATGAATGGTGCTGAACATTGTGCAATTGTTGCCGAACGTTCCCACTTCTGACCTTATGATGGAGGGAAGGTCATTGATGAAGCAGCTGAAGATGGTTGGGAAGAGGACACTACTCTGAGGAACTCCTGCAGAGATGTCCTGGAGCTGAGATGATTGACCTCCAACAACCACAACCATCTTCCTATGTTTCAGGTATGACTCTAACCACTGGAGAGCTATTCCACTCCCCCCGTCCCAACCAGGTGATTCCAGTTTTGCTCGGGCTCCTTGATGCCACACTCAGTCAAATGCAGCCTTGATGTCAAGTGCTGTCACTCTCCCCTTACCTCTGGAATTCAGCCCTTTTGTCCATGTTTGAACCAAGGTTGCACTGAGGTCAGGAGCTGAGTGGCCCTGATGGAACCCAAACTGGGCATCACTGAGCAGGTTATTACTGAGCAGGTGCTGCTTGATAGCACTGTCACTGACACCTTCCATCACTTTACTGATGATCGAGTGTAGACTGATGGGGCGGTAATTGGCCGGGTTGGATTTGTCCTGCTTTTTATGTATAGGACATACTTGGGCAATTTTCCACATTGTTCGGTCAATACCAGTGTTGTAACTGTACTGGAACAGCTTGGCTAGGGGAGCAGCAAGTTCTGGAGCACAAGTCTTCAGTACTATTGCTGGAATGTTATCAGGGCCTGTAGCCTTTGCAGTATCCAGTGTCTCCAACCATTTCTTAATATGAAGCAGAATGAATCGAATTGGCTGAAGACTGGTATCTGTAATGCTGGGGACCACTGGAGGACGCTGAGATGGATCATCCACTTGGCATTTCTGGCTGAAGATTGCTGTGAAAGCTTCAGCCTTATCTTTTGCACGGATGTGCTGGGCTCTTCCGTCATTGAGGATGGGGATATTTGTGGAGTTCCTCCTCCAGTGAGTTGTTTAATTGTCCACCACCATTTACAACCGGATATGGCAGGACTGCAGAGGTTAGATCTGATCCATCGGTTGTGGGATTGCTTAGCTCTGTCTATCATTTGCTGCTTATGCTGTTTGGCGTGCAAGTATTCCTGTTTGGTGGCTTCACCAGATTGACACCTCATCTACAGCTATGCCTAGTGCTACTCCTGGCATGCTCTCCTGCACTCTCCCTTGAACCAGGGTTGATATCCTGGCTTGATGGTAATGGTTCGGTGGAGGATATGCTGGGCCATAAGGTTATAGATTGTGCTGTTGATGGCCCACAGCACCTCATGGATGCCCAGTCTTGAGTTGCTAAATCTGAGTGAAGGCTGTCCTATTTAGCACAGTGCCACGCAACACAATGGAAGTTATTCTCAATGTGAAGGCGGGACTTCATCTGCACAAGGACTGTGCGATGGTCACTCTTACCGATACTGTCATGGACAGATGCAACTGCAGTTGGCAGATTAGTAAGGATGAGGTCAAATATGCTTTTCCCTCTTGTTGGTTCCCTCACTACCTGCTGCAGACCCAGGCTAGCAGCTATGTCCTTTAGGACTCAACCAGTAGTACTGCTGCTGAGCCACTTTTAGTGGTCAATGTTGAAATCCCCCACCCAGAGTACATTTTTGTGCCCTTGCCATCCTCAGTGCTTCCTCTAAGTGTTGTTCAATATGGAGGAGTACTGATTCATCAGCTGAGGGAGGACAGTATGTGGTAATCAGCAGGAGGTTTCCTTGCTCATGTTTAACCTGAAGCCACGTGACTTAATGAGGCCCGGAGTCAATGTTGAGGACTCCCAGGGCAACTCCCTCCTGACTGTGTACCACTGTGTCCCCCCCTCTGCTGGGTCTGTCTTGCTGGTGGTTCAGGACATATCCGGGGATGGTGATGGTGGTGTCTGGGACATTGTTTGTAAGGTATGATTCTGTGAGTATGACTATGTCAGGCAGTTGCTTGACTGGTTTGTGAGATGGCTGTCCAAATTTTGCCCTCAGATGTTAGTGAGGAGGACTTTGCAGGGTTGACAGGGCTGTTTCTGCCATTGTCTATTCCGATGCCTAGTGTAATGCAAAGTGATCTGTCCAATTTCATTTCTTTGAGATTTTGTAGCAATTGGTACTCTGAGTGGCTTGCTAGGCCATTTCAGAGGGCAGTTGAGGTCAACCACATTGCTGTGAATCTGGAGTCACATGTATGCCAGACCAGGTAAGGATAGCAGTTTCCTTTCCTAATGTTGATCCAGATGGGTTTTTCCAACAATTCATTCATGATCATCATTAGACTCTTCATTCCAGATTTTTATTGAATTCAAATTCCACCATCCGCCACAGCAGGATTTGAACCCTAGTCCTCAGTTTCTCTGGATTAACAGTCCAGCGATAATATCACTAGGCCATCGTCTTCTCCCTCCATCATGGATGGGATTCAGACATCTTAATCATTGCCTCTTGAGCTCCCTGTTCCCAGTTTCAGTTTGCTCAGCATCTTAAAATCTTCCTGAATCCATCTCTTTGAGCGAAGTTTCCATTACCATTCCAAACTGTTTCTCTACACTCAACATCAAATCCTCACTCTTTTGAGATATTTTGGAATTTTAGTTTTCTCTGAAAGGATTATATATGATTCTATATGTTCTTATTGGAGTAGAAACAACAAAACTGCTGTTGAATCTGACATATTAGGGTCACATTTCTTCTAATTCCCTGCCATAGGACACCCATTTTCTTTGGGGCAAAGATCAGGTTGGATGAAGTGGCAGCTCGATCACTGTTCCTGTTAAATAAGAGAGTTCAGCTGCACTGGAGAATAATAGTTTGAGAAACACAAAAAATATCACAGGGTTTAACAAACAGGCCCAATGATAACATTGTTTTATTTTTGTTGTAGTCAAAGAAATAATGAGCGATCAAGTGTCAGCGTACACTGAGAAGTCCCGTGGGAGAGAATTGCCTGGATTTACCAATTACAGAATCTTTGAGTCGCTAGCCAAGAATCAGATCATGAAGTTGGAGCCTCCTTCTCTCACCATGCTGAAGGTGATAGCAGGTAAAATGTATGGTCCAGACAGCACTTGGCAAGAAAGATTCTGTGTGTTATAGAGAAGGATTTGCGTTGGTATTGTGCAGCTCACAACTTTGGGACACGCCAAAGCATTTCACAATCAGAGGAACCTTGTTGAAGTGTAGTTACTTTTATGAAGTAGGACACATGGTATTCAACTGCACACAGCAAGATCCTGCAAATAGAAACAATATCATGACCACATAATGTTGCTTATAATGTTAAGAGATAAATATTGACTAGGGCTCCAGGGATAACTCCTCAATCCCTCTGTAAAGAATTCAATAGCATCTTTATAAAACAAAGAACTGCGGACACTGGAAACCTGAGACACAAATGGAAATGTCTGGAGAAACTCAGCGGGTCTGGCAGCATCTGTGGAGAGAAAAACAGAGTCAATGTTTTGAGTTCAGTGATGCCCCAAGCTGTGATAAATTTGCCATACTATTCGCACACTTGGGACTCAGAAGTTTTGATCTCAGCTGGTCAGATCCAGTGTAAAGTTTGGGTTAGTTGATCAAGAGCATTATTTTTTACATTGAGTCCCTAAACATATTCAGGTAAGTCTTCCAATATCCTTTTCAAAAAATACACAAGCTTGTTAACATTTTTTAAAATCTGCATACATAGAAGGTAGTTCAGAAAGATCAGATCATGAACAGCAAAGAGAAAATTCAACTCTTTTCTCAGCAATATACTTTACAGACACTCCATCCCAGTGAAGTATCTGAGACAACAAGGTGTAGAGCTGGATGAACACAGCAGGCCAAGCAGCATCAAAGGAGCAGGAAAGCTTCATTTTCTGAAGAAGGGTCTAGACCCGAAACGTCAGCTTTCCTGCTCCTCTGATGCTGCTTGGCCTGCTGTGTTCATCCAGCTGTATACCTTGTTGTCTCAGATTCTCCAGCATCGGCAGTTCCTACTATCCCAGTGAAGTATCTCTCCTTTTTTAACACTTCAATTTCATGCATAACTGATAAAATTGCAAGCATTTCCTTTCAGTGAATCCCTATACATTCATAAGATGTGATTCTCTTTTTACTGTCTGTCCCCGAGATACACAGACACTGGCTGCTTCGTTGGCTTTTTTCACTGAACTTTAAGAAAATCCCTGTCTACTTAAACTGCTAAAACAGTTGTCAGGGTTCTTTCCAACTCTGAAAACCTGGACTTCCACAGCTGCTGGGATGAAATTATTCCTCCCAACTGAAGCCTGATTTTGGCCCCTGGCCTGACTTTTTCTGTATGTCATAAATGTTTAACTTTACAATCATTTCATCAGTTAACCACCCCCCACCCTCACCCAGGTAAGTTTATGTGGCCATTTAGCTGAACTCACATGCTTTATTGGAAATTATGTTCAAACTCAATGTGCAAAACTGACTTTCTGACCTTTTGAGACCAGCAACTCACCATCGTATTTAAATTCAAAAATACATCAAAATCAGCATTCCCAAATTATGACAGTATATTTATAGTAAAGTTGTATTGCATTAGAAGGTCAGACAAATCCTCTAGTATCTTACTTAATTGGATTTTGGGACACCGTGAGCTTGGAGACTCAACCCTTGGTAGGCTATTTAGCCCATCGAATGCACTCTCCCTATCATTTGGATCATGGCCAAGCAGTTGTATCTGATTTTGGACTTGTTCATGCTTTTCCGCAGCTATCTCTCCCCCTTAATCACTTATAGAGTCATACAGCACGAAAACAGACCTTTCAGTCCAACTGGTCCGTACAACCATAATCCGAAGCTAAACTAGTCGCACCTGACTGTACTTGGCCCATTTCCCTCCAAACATTTCTTATTCATGTACTTATATAAATGTCTTTTAAATGTTGTAATTGTACCTGCATCCACCACTTCCTCTAGAAGTTCATTCCACACACGAGCCACTCTCTGTTAGGACTACATCATAACAGAACTTTTAAGAATAAAAGCTGTTCAAAACATAACTAAAGAATTGTCTTCCTCCTGTAATAGAACTCTTTTTCCTTACAGACCAGGTCCAGTCAGTATTTAACAGTTTGGCCATGCAGCATTTTGTAGGGTTGCCAAACCTAATGAAAAATATCAAGGTATGTAGACATCTAACTTCTTGGTTTGTGTTTATGGGGTAGGACAGGGTGAGGGAGGCCGGGAGACGGGAGTGGGTGTGTGGTTGTGAATAATGATTGGGCTGGATTTTCAGTCGGGTTAGGAGCTGGCCTGGAGGTTGTGTTTGGGTTTCAACCCTTCACGACAAATTTTAAACAGTTGGATTGCAAACTAAAGTTCAGGGTGGGGCTTACCATCCATCCAATTAATGGCATGGGAAAGTCTGATCAGAGCTTCCCTGTTGGGTGTTGATCTAAGTTAAGGTGCTCTACAATTATCATCCGTGTCCCTGGATTAGGAAGAAGCAAAAACTAACCAGGGTTTCTGCACCACACCTGAACGGAAAAATATATGTGGGCATCAGGTGAGTCTTCAGTTGGCCAAGAGATAGGAGGCAGAGAGTAGCGAAGTCAAGATGGTTCTCTGACTGAAGTGCAGTATGCACTAGATGGATCTGATGGCACTAGTCAAGCTGGGTCTCCGAGCATTGCTGGCAGAATCCACTGCTCCCGGGTACTCTGATGGCAGTGGAGTGCTGGCAGCTCTCAGTAACTTGATCCCTTGCGATCTCAGACGCTAGCCAGCTAAGATCTTCAGGACATTCGCATTGAGGTTCCAACATAGAAACTAACACTGGGCTCTCACCCAGTGAGAGTGATTCCCATCAGTTGTGGGAGGTCCATCATTAGCATTAAATTCTGGCTGGGGTATGGGATTAAATAGACTAGTTCCCTCTCTCAAATACTTCCACAGGCACAATGGGCCAAATGGCCTCCTGTAAGAATCTGTGACCGGATTGACTTTAGTTTGACGATTTCCCAATATTATCTGTCTTGGCTTATTGATGATGGTTATTTCCCATCAGTTACTCATTGGAAAAGTCCAAAACATTAACCCAAGCCTGATACTGTTAACCAGAGACCTGCTTTAGTAAAGGTGTTAGTCCCTTTTAAATGGCACTAGTGATTGCTGCTTCCATCATGAATTTATAAACTGACTGTACAAGTGAGCTTGCAGGTCCTATCCATCATGAGGGTCCTGATGTAGATACAGGACTCTTATTAACATATTTTAATGATGCTGTGTTTGTTTCTGGTGACCACTGGGGATGGTTAATGGGCTGTCAAACCAGTCTGGTGGTCTCCTGCTCACTGGGACATGGTATTGCAAATCTGGGCTTCATGGAACCTATTTCAAACCCAAGAAAAGGCTCCACAACTCCATCCCCCTCTGTCTGTGCAACAATTGGCTTTTGATGGGTTAAGCTGTCTCCAAATGGAAATACAAATTACATTTAAAAAGGTGGATAGATAGCAGTGTCCAGGAAAGGAAAAGACCATTGCACACCATCTGACCAGTTCCATACTGAGCAACATGTTGGCTCATCTCCCCTACAGAGTAAGATTGATGAAATTCGTGAGAACCAGGAGCTGGAAGCTGAGCGGATGCTGAAGACTCTGTTCCAGATGGAGAAAATGGTCTACAGTCAGGACATCATTTACTCCAACAAGCTGAATCAAATCCAGACCGAATATGAGTTACCAGAGGAGCAGAACCAGCAGATAATTTCTATCAGTACTGATATCACTGCAATGTCCATTCATTTAGAAACCTATTATCTGGTGAGCTGTGCAATTCCATCTTCACTGATATAAACTGACAGAATCATTCTAGTTGGTGTCAATGGTTGATTGTTGCTTTGACTTCATGTTACATGTGTGAAAGGCAGTTAAATGGACATTAGGCATAAGACACCACCTCCGCACAGAGGAGAGGGTGTGTTTGATAATGGCACTGGGTAGGGAGAGCAGCTTAAATTCAGTAAGAAATATTCGTGTCAGATGGTCAAACAGCTTGGATGCCCAAAGCGCATAGCAACTCTTTTCATTCCTACTAATGAAATTTTAAAAGTATTAATTCCTCAACCCTGTCATAAATAGGAGCCACCCTATTTTAAAACTGGATCCTAGTTCGAGATTTCAACTACAAGGCATCATAGGATGTGACAGGATCCATTCTCTCAACATCCGCACGTCAAATGCTCTCAGAATGTTATGTGTTTCAAGAAGGTCACTTCTCATGCTTTGAAACTCCAATGAGTATCAGCACAAGCATCCTTCATCACAAGCTGTTTGTCCCAGGAATTAGCCTGGTGAGCTGCCTTCTCCGAACCAGTGCAAGTAGGTCCTGTCTTAAGAGATCAAAACTATCCAAGCGCTCTAAGTCATTTTCACCAATTGCCCTGTGCGGTTGTAGCACGCACCACTTTAAAACTCCATTCCATTTGCATTAAAGGCCATAACTCCATTGCCTTTCTCCTTACTTGATGTGTCTACATGCTAACTTTGTGATTCATGTAGAAGGATACATAGACCTCTCTGCTCTTCTGCATTGCAGTCTTTTTTTTTTTCAAAATAAGTAATATTCTGTGTTCTATTCCTCCTGCCAATGTGGACAACCCCATTTTCCCACATTTTACTTCATCTGATAAGTTTTTGCCCACTCACTCAACCTATCCATATCCCTTTATGTTCATTTTGTATCCTCCTCACAGCTTGTTTCTGACGAACAGAAAAGTTAGATATAACACAGTTTGTCCCTTTACCCATGAAGTTATAAATTACTGAGATCCCAACACAGATCCCTGTAGCACCCCTCTAATTATAGTTTGCCAATTTGAATATTACTCATTTATCCTCACCTTTCTTTTCCGTTAGCCAGCATATCACAGTCTATGCATGTTCTTAACATCTGTAGTAAGTTTTTGCAGCACCCTATCACATGCCTCTTGGAAATCCAATTACACTTCATCTACCAGCTCCCCTTTGTCCATCCTGGATGTTTCATATTCAAAGAATATTCATAATTTATTCATCCACCATTACGTTATGCTTCAAGTTGTATATTGTAACAAATAATATTGATATTGATAAAACATTACTTCGTAGAAAATTAATACACTATCCTACATTATTGCACAATGTGAAACCCCAAGATACATTTACAGTTTATATTCTTGGAATATTTTCAATACATATGAAGCCTTGTAGTTGAAATTCCAAATTTCTCCCACTGTCTAATTGGTTTCTTCTTCTGATACACCGAGGCAAATTGTCTGGAAAGTCCCTTCACTCGGTCTCCAGAGTACAATATAATGGACTTCAGCAGCAGGGCACCTTTGTGCACTTGCTTGGTCTTTAAACCTCTGTGAGTTCCCTTTCTTCAAACAGGAAATCCATTAACATCAGCAGTCTGCCTGACAATTAACAGTCAATCAGATCTCTCAGAGCAAAAGCCTGAACCGTCCCCACCCACCAGCACCCTCCTCCACTTAACTGAGTTCGTCCTCACCCTCAACAACTTCTCTTTTAACTCCTCATGTTTTCTTGAGGTCAGAGGAGTGTGAGCCCCAGTTATGCCTGTCTCTTCATGGGGTACGTGGAACATTCCTTGTTCTAGTCCTATTCCAGCCCCCACCCACAAATCTTTCTCTGAAACATTTGATGATATCATTGTGCTGCTTCCCTCTCTCATCTGGAATTAGAAAAGTTCATGGATTTTGCTTCCAATTTTCACCCCACCCTCGCTTTCATCTCGGACTCCTCCCTTCCCTTCCTCGACATCTCTGTTTTTTTTTATTTCTGGGGATAGACTAGCCACTAATATCCACTATAAACCCAATGACTCCAACAGCTACCTGGATTATACATCCTCATACTCTGTTTCCTGAAAAGACTCCATTCCGCTCTCCCTGTCCGTCTGTCTCCATTGCATATGTTCTGATGAGGCCAACTTTGACAACGGAGCCTCTGAAATGTCCACCTTCAGAGGATTCCTCAGCACCATTGTTGACAGGGTTCTCGATTGGGTCCGATCCATCTCCCAAACTTCCGCCCTCACCCCTCTCTTCCATCCCACAACAGCGATAGGGTTCCCCTTGTACTTAACTGCCATCCCACCAGCATCCACATCCAGAAGATCATCAGACACCATTTCTGCCACATCCGGAGAGAGGCCACCACCAGACACACATTGCCTTCCGCAGGGACCGTTCTCTCCGGGACACCCTGGTCCAGACTTCCTTCACTCCCAACATCCCCCGACAGCCCCACGGCACTTTCCCCTGCAACCACTGAAGGTGCAGCACCTACCCATTTACCTCCTCCGTCCTCCGTATCCAAGGGCCCAAAGATACGTCCAGGTGAAGCAGCACTTTACCTGCACTTCCCAGCATTCCCTAGCCTTCTGCAATCACTGCTCACAGTGTGGTCTCCCCTACATTGGGGTAATGAAGCGTAGACTGAGTGACCGCTTCTCAGAACATATGTTCTGCTTGCAAAAAAAACCTTGAGCTTTCAGTTGCCTGCCACTTTAACATAACACCCTATTCCCTGGCCAACATTTCTGTCTCGGGCCTGCTGCAATGTTCCAGCAAAGCCCAGCGCAAGCTGGAAGAACAATATCTCATTTTCAACTTGGGGACCCTGCAGCACTCTGAACTCAACATCAAGTTCAATAATTTTAGGACCTGAACTCTCCCATGCCCAAGCCTCTACCACAAACACCAGGCCTTGTTATCACATAGTCTGCCATTACACACAACCCATTGTTAGCTACTAACAGTCTCCATAAACAGCTCTTCACCCTCCCAGCCAGATTGTTATCAACTCCTTTTGTCCAACTGCTGTTCTCTCTCTTTGGGCTCTATCCTGACCTATTGTTTACTCCTTAACCCTCCCCCCACCCTATCTTCTGCATATGAACCGACGTTTTCCTAGCTACCATCGTTTCTGAGGAAGGGTCACCAGATCTGAAACAATAACTCTGATTTCTCTGCACAGATGCTGCCAGACCTGCTGCATTTTTCCAGCAGCTGCTGTTTTTGTCTCTGATTTACAGCATCAGCAGTTCTTTCAGTTTTTAAACAGTCTCTCACACTGCTTGATCCAGCGTCCATTGTTTTTAGTCTTCCCCCTTCAGGTCTTTTTGTCTGATTCTGAGAGTCTATATCCAAAAAAAAATCAGCTATCCTTTATTTATGTCAAATTTTAAAACTGGTTACAATGTAAGCCTCTAACCTCCTCATAAGTAAATCTCATGGGTCAGTTGCTGGGCAGATTTCCAAATGACTTCCCTTAATTTCCTGCCCCTTCCCCAGCACATTCTTATATACCTCAAATTAAAACAGGCAGTTTAAAGAATGACCACTTAGAAAGTCTCCCATTCATAACAATTTTATCCTCATGGGGAAAAGCATATCTCAAGGGCATTATTACAAGGCAGTCACCAAAAAATCCAAAAGGCAATTCATGTGGAACTTGCACCAAAAGTGGTGAGAATATTGAACTTGTGATCAGAGGGAGTGATTGGAGCGAATGTGCAGCGATACAGAAGGAAAGTTAGATGAGTATATTGGGAAGAAGGGAATAGAGCGTTACAATGATCTACATGCATGATAAAGGATGGGAGGTGAGCCAAGTGGAGAATAAATACTGGCCCAGGTCATTTGGGTCAATTAGCCGTTTCCTCTGTGCAGTAAATGCTGTACAATGCTGTGTAAGCTTCAAGCACAAGGCCTACAGGCCTCCGAGGAGAAGCATGTTGATGGTGAATCTACTTGTGTGTTTCAGATTGCTTCAAACCGACTGGCAGACATGGTTCCAATGGTCATTCGATTCTACCTCTTGCAGGAGTACGCGAGCAAGCTGCAACGCAACTTACTGCAGTTGCTGCAGGGTCAGGAGCAGATGGAACAGCTGCTGATGGAAGAGGAAGACATCTTTGAGAAGCGTAGATTTCTGAACAGTCGCTTGAAAAGGTTGAGAAAAGCCCGTCAGATCTTGACCATGTGTTAAAGCAAACATCTGTCAATTCATTTAATATGTCGTCAATAAGCTACAAAGTGTTTGAGACCTCCATATAGAACTCTTTAAAGAAAATATGCCCATGAGGAAACAACGTTCCTGTCTTTTGCCATTGTATTCACCTATCTGCGAAATAAGTGAGAATGGAAGGATAAGGCTATTCAACCCCTTGTGTCTGTTCTGCCCATTATTATCATAGCAGATCTACATCTTAACTCCATCTACCCACCTCCATCTATATCTCTAGCTATCCTTGCAAGATAAACATCTATTGATATTGGGTTTGGAATTATCATAGCATCATGAAATTTTTACAGTGCAGAAGGAAGCTATTTGGCCCAGGCAGTTTTTACCTTGGACAGAAACTAAAAGTGCTAGAGAAACTCAACAAGTATGGCAGCATCTGTGGCGTGAAAACCAGAATTAATGTTTCAAGTCCAGTGACCCTTTATCCTTAATGACATCCATCAATAATTAGTAGAGGGTCTGGAAAGTAAGTTCTCAATATCCTCTGACCTTTGAGTGAAGAAGTGTATTTCTCCATGGCAATAATGTAATTATACTTGCCTTTTCTGGACTTGTCCAGCAAAAGAAATTCTTTCTTTCCATCTTTATCAATTTTATTTGATCATCTTAAACACCTCCATTAGATCACAGATAATTATTTACAGGGTAAGTGGCAGATTGGCTAGAAGCTCAACTCCAAATTTCCCATAGGTGTGAGCAACACTGACAACTAAAATTATCTCCTTGGTCTGAGATATTAATCCTGTTTAGTCTGATCAATTCTTTTCCCTCCTAAAACACTTGCCCCATTCCAACAACTTGATTTTTTTGAAAAAAAAATCTTGTGGCTATTTTAGTGCTTACATCATTTATCTCTGTATCACCAGTTCTGGTTCTTGGCAAAAGATATGCAGCAAAACGACATTAAGACCATTTTTTTGGTGGATTTTTATTTTGTTCTTGGTTTCAATTTTCCAATAAATTTCTAGGTAAGAATAGATGCTGTAACGTTAGTGTTTTATGTTACTTGGGTTCCATGCCGTGGAGCACAGTTTCTCATTCACTGTGTGAGTTGAGCAGTTCTTGTACTGTGTGGTAGAATAATGATCTTTCTCAAAGGGTAATGGTTTATTGAGCAATCCAGCTGGCATCTTCGGTGAGACTTTGGTTCCAGCACAAAGCCAGACTGGACAGGAACACTGATGGGGCTTTACACTGGTGACGATGAAGACTTTCTGCAACTGACTCATAGTTAATGCTCTAATGAGCCTCTGACTGTTCAATAAAGAGACAATTTAAACAGTGTCTATCTTTTGTTTTTCAATTTCTAATTTCTCAAAGCAGCAGGACTTTTCACTCCTTTCTTACATGCCTGGCCTGAAACTGGAGATAAATCTTTCTTTATTCACTAACAGCAGTCACTGTGGACCATCACTGCATCTTTCAATCTGAGAAAATAAAGGCTTGCATTTCTAACACTTTATTTCCTCATGACACTCAGAATTATTTTACAGCCCATGCAGTACTTTTTATAAGATGTAGGAGCAGAAGTAGGCCATTTGGCCCATTCTGCCATTTAATGACATCATGCCTAATCTGATAATCCTCAATTCCACGTTCCTGGCTTTTTCCCATAACCCTGATTTGGTGACTGACTTTAAAATCAATCTCAGCCTTCAGTATAGTTAATGAACCAGCCTCAATAGCCCTGTGTGGTAAAGAATTCCCCAGGTTCACAACCCTCTTTTGAAATGTAGTCACTTTACATGAGCAAGTCTATTAAACAATAGATTATACTTGTGTATCTCATTCTTAATGTGTTGCCTATCTGTGCATGTATTCTCTGATGGGATGTCCTGTCAGGAGTGGCATTTTTTTTTGTTTCATCCCATCTCCATCCTCCTAAGCTTGTTGACTTTGGGGGCCAATGATAGCATCCCAACTGAAATTGGTGTATTCCGCACTGAACCTCAGAACATCCAATTACTTAGGGAGCACCAAAACATACGTGTCAGTTGGTTGATGGGGAAGATGCATATATTCATGTCAACAGTTGTCAAGGACGTTCTAGCAAGAGACTAAGGATTAACCTTTTGAATAATCCTGCGAATGAAATAAAAGTGATCATCTTCCACTGTTCTCTGTGCATTTTGTTTGGTGTCATCTCCCCTTGCAAAAGGAGCTTCGCAGTATTTCCACAGTTGTAATTGCAGGATTAACAAACATTGAGAAAAATGGTGGGGATGATACATGACAGTTGATAGTGAATGATACATGACAGTTGATAGTGAATTGCCTGCCTGTTTTACATCCAGTTCTGATGAGGTTCTTTATGGTTACTTTCATATTTGGGTAGAAATTCGATTAGCAAAGATTGTCAACTCCCTTTGTCATTTTAAAAATCTCAGTCATGATTTTCCGCCCAAAAAAAAGCACAGAGAATGCTGGAAAAGTTCAGCAGGTCTGGCAGCATCTCTGGAGAGCAAGATAGAGTTAACATCTCGAGTCTGGTATGACACTTCTTCAGAATCTCACCTCAGATGCTGCCAACCACTGGATTTCTACAGCATTTTCTGCCTTTCTTTCAAATTTCCACCATCCACAATATTTTCCTTTTGTTTAATGGTACAATTCTGTCTGAGTTGTTCTGGATTTTCCAAGTATTACTGATTAATCCCCACATTGGTGGCAGGGTGGCTCAGTGGTTAGCACTGCTGCCTCACAACACCAGGAACCAGGGTTTGATTCCACCTTGAGGTGACTGTCTGTGTGGAGTTTGTAAATTCTCTCTATGTCTGTAGGGTTCTCTCCCATAGTCATAAAGATGTGCAGGTTAGGTGGATTGGCCATGCTAAATTGCCCATGCAAAGATGTCCAGGGATGTGCTGAAAAACCTGCAATTAACTTTCAGGCCTGGTCTCACAAACAAATGACAGCTTGATTGTTCTGTCTCTTTTTCCAGCATAAGCTGCTGCCCACACTCCAAAGGTTTTATCTTATATCTTCCTCTACTGCACTCATAGAAGAATCATAGAGTAATACAGCATGGAAACAGGCCCTGTGGCCCATTCTGACCATGGTGCCCACTCAGCTAGTTCCAATTGCCTGCATTTGGTCCGTGTCCCTCTAAACCCTTCCTATCCATGTACCTATCCAAATGTTTTTTTAAATGTTGCTATTGTACCTGCCTCAACCACTTTCTCTGGCAGCCATTCTGTACTCGCACCACTCTCTGCGTGAAGATATTGCCCCTCAGGTCCTTCTTAAATCTTTCCCCTCTCAGCTATGCTGTCTAGTTTTGAATTCACGATCCCTGGGAAAAAGACTATATGGATTCATCCTATCTATGCCCCTTACGATTTTATACACCTCAATTAGGTCACCCCTCATTCACCTACGTTCTAAGGAATAAAGTCCTATCTTGGCCAACATCTCCCTATAACTCAGGCCTACTAGTCCTGGCAACATCCTCATAAATCTTCTTTGCACCCTTTCCAGTTTAACTATGTCTTTCCCATAACAGGGTGACCAAAACTGTACACAGTGAGGCCTCGCCAACAACTTATACAACTGTAACATAACGTCCCAGCTCCTATACTCAGTGGCTCAACCAGTGAAGGCCAGCATGCTAAATGCCTTCTTCACCACCCTGTCCACTTGTAACGCTACTTTCTACGAAACATAGAGCAGTACAGCACAGGAATGAGCCTTTTGGCCCACAATGTTGTGCCAAACATGATGACAAATGAAACTAATCCCTTTTTCCTGTCCTTTGGTCTATATCCCTCCATTCCTTGCACATTCATGCGCTTATCTAAAAGACCCTTAGATGACCCTATTGGACCCGCTTCCAGAACCACCCCTGGCAGCGTGTTCCAGACTACTACTAGTCTGTGTAAAACTGCCCCTCACATTCCCTTTGAACTTTCCCCCTCTCACCTTAAATGCTTGCTCCCTAGTATTAAACATTTCAACTCTGGGAGAAAGATTCTGACCGTCAACCCTCTCGATGCAACTCATAATTTTATAGACTTCTATCAGGTCTCCCCTCAACCTCAGCCTCTCCAGAGAAAACAACCTAAGATTTACTAGCCTCTCCTTATACCTTCTACCCTCTAATCCAGGCAGCATCTTGGTAAACCTCGTCTACACCCTCTCCAAAGCCTCCACATCCTTCCTGTAATGTGGCGACCAGAATTGAATGCAGTACTCTAAGTGTGGCCTATTCAAAGTCTTATAAAGCTGCAATATGACATCCTGACTCTTGTACTCAATGCCCTGGCCAAAAAAGGCAAGCATTCTATATGCCTTCTTTACCACCCTATTTACTTGCGTGGCCACTCAGAGGGGGCTATGGACTTGAACCCCACGATCCCTCTCTACATCAATGCTGTTCCGGGTCCTGCCAATAACTGTATACTTTTCCTTAACATTTGATCTCCCAAAGTGCAGCACCTCACACTTGCCCAGATTAACCTCCATCTGCCATTTCTCTGTCCATATCTCTAACTGATTGATATCTCGTAGAAACCTTCTACACTGTCCACAACTCCACCGATCTTTGTATCGTCTGCAAACTTTACTAACCCACCCATCTACATTTTCATCCAAGTCATTTATAAATATCACAAGCAACAGAGGTCCCAGTACAGATCCCTCTGGAGCACCACTAATCACAGACCTCCATCAATTGATACACCTGTAAATCTCATCTTCTCTACATTAGCATTGTTTCAACACATTCACATGGCACAATCGATCAGGGGTATCAATTAAATATATTACCTGTCTAACCCTTTTAACTGCTTTGTAGGGATCACTGAATTTTGCTTTTAATGGCTCACCTTGTTGAGGCATCAGTAGTAAAACTGCATTTCCTGCTTGAAAATGTTTGGTTGTTTTATGTTTATTTGCTTACTCTTCCATTTTGTTTGGAAAGTTTTCAGATGTTCTTCCACAACCCTACATGGTCCTGTTAACCTTTTGAGAAATGTGGATATATTCTCTACCAATGAAGATTCATTTTTGTGGTTTAGCAATTTGTCTTTAATCAGTTGGGGAAGGCAATGGTCTAGTGGTATTATCACTGGACTGTTAATCCAGAGACCCATGTAATGCCCTGGGGACCTGGGTTCAAATCCTGCTGTGGCAGCTGGTGGAATTTGAATTCAATAAAGTATCTGAAATTAAGTGTCTAATGATGATTGTGAATTGTCAGGGGGGAAAGTCCGTCTGGTTCACTAATGCCCTTTAGGGAGGGAAACTGCCATCCTTAACTGGTCTGGCCTACATGGGAGTCCAGACCCACAGCAATGTGGTTGACCCATAACTGCTCTCTAAGCAATTAGGGATGGGCATAAGTGCTGGCCTAGCCAGTGATGCCCTTATCCTGTGAATAAATAAAGTATAATGGTCCTCTAATTTCATGACCATGAGCAACTTTGAATGGGTTGAAACCAGTAGATTTGTTTGAAGAATCTCTGGTTACAAATAAAAGAAACTCTAAACCTTTGTCTCAACCCTTTGGAAACTCTTAATAGGATTTGATCATGGTTTTGTTAAGACCTCCTGAAAGCACCTTGGGTCTGTGGATGGTACACAGTCAGCTTTAGTTGTTTAATTCCCATACTACTGATGATATCTTGAAAACAATTTGGCATAAAGTTTGATCCTTATCAGACCGTACTTTCATCAGTAGACCATAACGAGTGAAAAATGGAGAGGTTTTCTGATCCCACCTTAGCTCTGATTGTTCTTAAGGGAATAAACTCAGGAAATCAAGTAGTCATACCCATAATGGTAAGGATATATTCATTCCAGATCTTGTTTTAGGTAACGATCCTAGACAATCCACTATCATAGAATCCCTACTGTGTGGAAGCAGGCCATTCAGCCCATCGAGGTCACAATGACTATCCCATCCAAAGCCAACCCCTGTAACCCTCCATTTCCCATTGGATAATCCTCCTAGCCGGTACATCTCTGGACACTACTGACAATTTAGCATGGCCAATCCTCCTAACCTACACATCTTTGGACTGTGGGAGGAAAGCAGAGCACCTGGAGGAACCCCACACAGACACGGGGAGAATGTGCAAACTCCACACAGACAGTCACCCTAGAGTGGAATCAAACCTGTGTCCCTGGTGCTATGAGGCAGCAGTGCTAACCACTGAACCAACACGCCACCACAAGTGCACGTGAATGGGTATTTTGCTTCTGTTGCCCCCTCTCTCTTTTTTCATGGAGATTTTTCTTCGTGTTCCAGAATCTTCTGAGAAATCCTGGAAGTTGGCAACCCTGGGGA